AAAGTGATTTTACTTTAACTTTAAAGTTAAAGTTAAAGTGCTTTACTTTGCTTTAAAATTTTAAAGTTAAAGTTTTACTTTAAACTTTAAGCTTTAAAGTAAAGTTAAAGTCCCACCCCTAACTGAAACTGGCGACAATATCTTAACAATACAACAATCGTGGATTGAAAAGATACAACAAAAAATTAACAATCCTTCTATTTTAACCAAACGTACAGGTAAGATGTTTTCCTTAACAGTTATTTTCGAGAGTCGAAAAAAGTCATCGAACGCATGCCAAAAAATACGTGTGTTTCTCATACATAGCGTTTCGATTTGATCAATGTGAAACTAAATTATTTCGGAGGTTGAATAAGTTTTGTTTTTAAATATGTTATTTTTACACACACTTATCTTCCTTTTCAGGAAGACATTGTACCACTAAATTAATAGATTGAAATAGAACGTGAAGATTATCGGGACTAAATAAATTTTTCTCATTTAGAACCAACAACTGATTCATCTTTTATCTTACCACAAATTCAACGAACACGTTCATATACCAGTAACGACAGTATTTCAAGCACACATAATTTATTTGTTTTCTCTAACGATCATTCAGATGTTGTCGAAGATATTGCTGATTTAATCAATCATAGTACGACAAGTGAATCCATTGATATCATTCAAGATGTTAATATTCCATCAGTATTCGAAGATACTTCTGGTACGATATTCATCAATTTATGCACCTAGTACCTTGCATTTGTGTTTAGAATCTTTCATCGAAAATAATCCAACCACATTCAATAACACTATGCGTCTTACAAGTGTAATTGAGAATTGTTTATCGAATATTGTTGAACAAGTAATTCAGTCAGCCGATGCAAATAATAAACAATTAGCTGATTCAATTCGATGTGAAACCGATCCAGGTAAAACGTGCGAACAATACACAATGTATATAAATTTCTTATACCACATAGTTTCTTCATCTATCATTTCGAGAACGTGTGTGGCATTGTCGGATGCACTTATTCCGGACGATATGAAGGCATTATGCAAAAAAATCTTATTATGCGACTCGATTGTTTTATCCAGTACCAAACTAAATAAAGTATGCAAAACAAATATGGTTGACGTTCATAAAGCATGCCAATTACTCATTGATAATAAATTATTAACCAAAGAAGACAAAATGTTAGCGAACAAATCTTCTTATCATGAATGTTATTTGAAAACAATTCCACAAAATAAATCAGCATTGGTCGAATTTTCCATTACATTGGCTAAGTTTGGAATCTACGATATACACACATATTATGATACATTGAAAACGAGTAAGTGTGACTGAAACGATCGCCATTTCGAATGAATGATCATAATTCAAATTTTAGTTGATACGAAAAACACCACCTATTTGTCACCATATGGAGTATCAATCTTGGAACAAAAACCATACAATGATTTCCAAATAATTCTGAATAAAGATGCCATTGTACAACCATTAAAAGAACGACATCGTAAACTAACAGATGCGTCCGGTGTTACTCAAAATGGTGATAAAGAGAATCGTGAGTTGGTATTTGTTTTTCATAGCGATTAGTACGGTGCATTTTTTCCTTTAGTGACATGTGAAGTAATTAATAGTTCAACAGATGTTGAGCATAATCTTGATCATGAAATTTCCAATACAAAGCGACGTCGTGAATTAACCGGAAAAGCAAAAGCATATATTCAAGAGCAATCCAAATCAAAAAAGAAAAAGAATAACGTTTAACATGTTCAGAGATTGACCTGCCATATCAACCGATTTAACTGTTACTTCTCTCATTCGTTTCGACAATAGGAAGTGACCAATGTTTTATATTTGTGTGATTATGTGTGTGTTTTGTCTGACGATTTTTATTTGTTAACTGCATATTGTTCATCAGTAAAAGAACCACAAATTGATATCTCTTTATCATGTTTCTTTTCTCACGAATTGCACTGATCAGAATTGTAAAGGGGTACATCATTACTGCCTATCCCTCAAGATTGGACTGAATGTCGCCGGACAAGAAGTCGCAGGGTGAGGGTGAGGGTGCAGATGAGGGCGATGGTGAAGGTGATGGTGAGGGTGCAGATGAGGGTGATGGTGCATAGGATGGTGAGGGTGCATATGAGGGTGAGGGTGAGGGTGAGGGTGAGGGTGAGGGTGTGGGTGAGGGTGAGGGTGAGGGTGAGGGTGTGGGTGTGGGTGAGGGTGCAGATGGGGGTGATGGTGAGGGTGAGGGTGCAGATGGGGGTGATGGTGAGGGTGTGGGTGCATATGAGGGTGAGGGTGAGGGTGTGGGTGTGGGTGCAGATGCGGGTGTGGGTGTGGGTGAGGGTGCAGATGGGGGTGATGGTGAGGGTGAGGGTGTGGGTGCAGATGTGGGTGCAGATGCAGGTGAGTGTGCAAATTAGGGGGTATCGGTAATGTGTTGTCGGGGCAAAATGTGACCATGGACATTTCCTTATAGCGGCTATTTGTTTGGATTACACTTTCTGTCTCCGATTGTTTATTCGTGCGAGTTTTCTCAACAATAATTTGTGCGCAACCTTTCATTCGGCTGCATTGTGTCGTATCGCTCTATCTTTTCGCCTGCTCATGTCATAGAATACGTCCATGGCAGCTTGAGCGGTATGCATTGTTTATTGCCGTCTATAAAAGCATATGTTTTGAAGTGGAATAGCAGTTCGATACGTGAATAAACGAAATACAGTTTATCTTTGTCGTATATCAATTGTCACCTAAAGTTCGTTACAATAACATTTGCTCAATTGATGTAAAATAGTTTACTGGTGATCTTTTCTTTTTATTCATAGATGAATTTTACTAATGGTATTAATAATATCAATGACGATGAATTGTTTCTGGTTTCATTAAATCGGCGAATACCATTACAACATTTGAATTTGATGTTTCTTCTTGATTCTAAGTTGGACGAACTTATCTCGTTGAAATATGATGATATATCGAACATGGTTCAATTGACGTATGGTGTAAAATATGATGGCTCAATGGTAGAATCTATTTTAAATTTATTGAAATCCGATAACATCTCGTCACAACTATTTTCATCACACAATGTCGATAAAATAATCAGTAACTATTCTAGAGATCATCATTTTCTTACAAAGGCATCATTACATACTATAAAACCATTTACACCATCGTGTTTACATTGTCATCTCCCATTGAAATTACAATTCAAAGAGAAAATTAACGTTTTTCTCATGGACCATGTGGATGATGGTGTTATTTTTGCTGCTCGTTGTTGTCATATAGAATATCATACGAATAGTTACATCAAAAATTCAAAGCGTTACGTTCTTCGTCAATCTTTGTACAACCAAAAATATATTCATTTTGGTGGTAAATGCGTTCTTCATATTGATGTTCTATTACGATATGCGTCAGACTTGATCAATATGGTAAGTTAAGGATATTCTAATTAACTTTGTATATCATACATAAATATTCATTTTGAATTAGAGCGAATTCCTCTCATACCTTATCAAAATCTGTTTACTATAAAGTTTTATTATAGTACGCCGGCTTCGAAAACTTTTGTGGTGCTTACAACGATACAATAACGTCAGTGGCAATGCAACATAATCGGAATAATGCTTTAGAAATAGAAGATATACCATTGCTGGAACGCCGACTATTTGAGAATATCTGGTTAATTTACTCAACACCATTATTGAAGTTCTTTTTGTCAACAGATACAGAAATTGAAATTCCATATCATATTAGCAATCGTGAAGAACGAAACCATTTTTTTGCTTCTCATTTACCTCAATTAGAACGTGATTTTGTTTTGTATTGGTCAAATCATATGGTGAAATTTAGTTGTGGTAGTCAATGTTGTAAAGCCATTGTTATTGATGGATTCCAAAAGCCTGATCGTTATATTTGCAACTTTATGCAAGAGTTGATTCATTCGGAAGAATTGGGTAAGATTTTTTGTAAATAATTTTGAAGTTCTTCTCATGATATTTTCAGGTGATATTGAATGGGGTTGTGGATTTCGTCCAGAAATGGTCCCAGATAAACNATGCATCCATATGATTAACACAAGTTCATTAGGTAAATCGGTAAAACGAGTAGGTGTCATCCGTGTTCTATGTTGTATATTAAATGAACAAGGTCAGTCAATTGTGGCGAGCGTTCTTCTTCGTTTATCAATGGTCGAGCAGATGCGCTTTATATCAATACTGATTTGAGCTATTCATATTTAGTTTAGTTATTTTCTTTTAATTAAAAGCAGAAAGAGAGATTTCTCCAGTCCGAATCCAGCTTAATGCACAAAAAAATAATCGCTGATGTTGTGTTTTTCATTTATCTCTCTTTTAGTGTTGAAAATAGAGATCAGTATGTATTCCACTGATTTCATATGGCTGTTTATTTGATGTTCATGATGGAACGCTGGAAAAGAAAGAAATTCACTATGAATTGAGTTTATAACATCTTGGGTCGGTGTGAAAAAACGCAACGAGAAAATACTGGAATTGTTTTTTTTAGAGAAGGTTGATATTTTAGTTTTGATATTTTCCGATCGTGGAAATAATAAGTGAAAAATTGAAATCACACGTTCGAAAATATAAAATGAATTGCTTCTACTGAAATTTATCAAATAAAAGCTTTCATAAACTAGAAAAAGTTTGCCATAAGAATGTATCGACGCCGAGACTCTCGAGCTTCCCTACTTTTAGTTTCAACTATTTTTCTGCCTCAATGCCATAGGATACGTTTGAAAGTGAAACAGATCAAAACGGTGCGCATCTTAAGTTTAATTTAAAAGGTTAGAGGCTCGGTCTCTTTCAACACATACTTAGTTTGTTGAATGGATTGAAAAATTGATCGATTTTCTCCAAGGAATTTCAAAGCAGATATAATTATATATGAAGAGAATAAAAACGTGCCAACAACACTACTCGGTATATATCTATTCCAGTACTTTCTAAAAAGATACTATAGAGCTAATTAAAGCTACGAGGTTATTCTCAGAGTGAATGGAATGGAGAGAACACTTTTTCATTCCATTACAACTCGCATAAAACGATATCACTCATACACATTTACGAGGCTATCAAAGCACATGGAGCGATGAAATAGTATCGCACCACTACTGATGTACGTTTGGATTTGTTCTTTTGTTATCATAAGGCTATTTCATTGTGGACATATATGCCACTGTGCTACACGTTCCTCTTTCTTTTTTTCTACTGTTCTCTTTTCATTCCTCGTGTTTATACTTATGAGAGCTTAACAGAAAGACTCCCACCATTATTTACACTCTATATTGCATTAATACTTTTTGTCTTTTGATTGAAATCGATTTAAAGTATGTTTTGAAATGTACCCTACTTATACGATTCACACGTCATCTTATTATCAATAACCTTAACAAATATTTGACAAACTAGGATGCAAAACAGGCTGTTTATCGGCTTGGTTCTGCGTTTTCATCAATGCCAACTGATTCCATGTTTTCCGCTTCATTCACATTTGAATCAACGATTTACTTAATGTAGTCACATTTATTATCAACTTCGTGAGTATCGTTATTGTAAGAGATGTTTGGGCTACTCAGAGGATGCTCATGCTTTTCCATTGAAACACTTTGTTTTACTCTTGAAGTGATCTCATGTTGTAATACGTTTATTGACGAAATATCAATCTTTAACAAAAAAAATTTTCCTTGGCGCATGCAAAATTTGATAAGCAAAAGGTTGTAATAAACGAAACGAGAAATATTGTTCTTTGTGTTCTGATAAAACAAGGTTACCATAATTGAGAGGACTATTGCCCAAGTCAATCAATCCCGTACTCGGATCCCATCGGATCCGAAACATAAATTTTCCAGCTTTTCTAAGGGCCATCATAGAATATAGCTAGAAAGATCGGTCATAAAATTTGCAATAACTGACGGAATTTTTTCAGTCGGATTCCAATGTAATTCCGCTTCCAGGAATCCGATCGGATTTGTTGACCTGGGTCGTTTGGTCTATATTTGCCATAAATACCTAAATATGAAAACGACAAAGTAAATTTCTATCTATTCAAGAAAACAATGTTCAAGACATTGTACTTAACCAATTTCTGCGATACTTCTGAAATGATGCTAAAACCGATCAATTTCTTGCAGAACTGGAAAATCATCTACTCATTTTTCACGGTTCCACATCGATTTCTAAGACGCGATTCCTACTCCAACACTACACCTCAATATCTATCTATATTCGAGTAGCTGCCTAATTCGACCTATAATATAAGTGCCAAACTCCTATAATACTAATCCTTTCATAGGAATAGATAGAAATAGTTTTAGTTATAACTGCACCTTCACCCTTCATTTATATTCGAATTGATAGTAGTCTGTTAGCTGTCCATTTATAATGTAATTCGTATTAGGCAACTCATGTGTAGTGTTGGAGTAGGAATAGCGTCTTAGAAGTTTATGTGGAATTGTGAAAAATGAATAGATGATTTCGCAGTTCTGTAAGAAATAGATTCATTTAGCATAGTTTCATAGGAACTACAGGAATTCGTAAAGTACAATCCCATGTAAAGAAAATCTGCGAAATTGAGACTTTGCCTGAGAAACCTGGTGGAACACCGATTTTAATAGCTTGGGAGTCCGTTAAGTTGAAAATAATCAATCCAAATCGATTAAATCCTGTTAGAAAACCAATTAGGTTATCAAAAATTGATGATAATAAGAAAATATGTGTTCTTTTTCTTGAAAAAGTGGATTTAATAGACTTTAGTTGTTTGTTTTCAACTTGATCGATTACCACGCTATTTAAATCAATTTTCCATCCGATTTCTGATGCAAAATCTGATTTTTACAGCTTTTTTTACATGAGTCTTTATAATGTTCATCAATGATTTTCACTTACTTGGACCCACATCGACACCTTCATCGGCAGTTGCTGCTTCATAACCCGGGAGGATGGCAGGCTGATGAGTAGTTGTTTTCCCAGCCATGTTTAACTGGTAATCAACATAGTCCTGTTGATTAGATCCTATCCCAGGTCGATCATTCCGGCGACTGGATCCGTTGAAATCTGAGTCGGTTTCGGCAGGTTCCTTGCCGCCGGATTTGCACAGGAAATATCCGATCAGTTCCTGACCGTTTTCAGCTCGAAGTTTGCAGGAAATGGTCGAAAAACGAACCTAACCGGCCGGAACTGACCGTGCCATAATAACCTGGGTAGGCTTTTATACACACTAGAATAAAATGCAACAACGCACTTTCTATAAAATAATACTGATAAACTCACGTATCTTTCTCTTGCTTCCTTCTCGCTATTGCGCATTCTATCTTTGATAAAATAAGTCGAATCGTTTTCTTTTTTTATTGTATTACGAAACTGTAACCATAATCAAATTGAATAAATGAGTACACAGACTAAATCTTCGCACCAAACAACACTCAAATCAAATATCGACTTTGCGACATCGAATTTGACCAAAAATAGTCTCCTTAAATCAGTATCTGTCAATCTCAATTCAATCCTTTTATGGACTTTGAAAAACGATTGAGTCAACAAATTGTTTTGTTAAAACGACTTTTCCCTTTCTTCGTTTGATAAAAAAAATCACGTCTGTGAAATCAATTCGACGCATTCAACTAATGACATATCTACTTTTCAAGTCGTCTGCCTCTGCTAAAACTAAAAGATGAGTTTTTTAAATATATTGTTCTAGCCGATATCGAAAGAATATAATAAGACAAGACGATAACAGTTTAGCATCCAACTGCATATTCTTTAATACAATTGATAAACTGAATACAACGAAACTCTGATGATGATTGAGACTTTCACCCATTCAAATGATTAATCGTGTTGAAAGATCCAGGTCGATCATTCCGGCGGCAAGAAAATGGTCGGAAAACGAACCGACCGCGCCATAATAACCCGGGGAATTCAATCGTTTCAACTTCGTCATTTTGATTCCACTAATAGCTTGTTCTTCATAGTTATACCTTTAGCTTCTTTCTTTTTACTTTATGCTTAGATTTATTTCCTTACGTCGTTTCGCTCGGAAGCGTTCACGACTTTTTGTAATATTGAGATGATCGCGTACAAGAAATCAAGCATAGTTACTTGACATAAAAATAAACATTGAGCCAGAGTAAGACAATTCTATACGCTATAGCGATGAACTTGTTTAGAAGAGACAAAGAAAAAACAAAAACAAAAGAGGAGAAAAAAGTTAAAAGTTAAAATAGAAAATAGATAAAAGACGAGAAAGGGAATGCACATCAACAATGTTTTGCTTGAGAGAGAGTTATACATATAAAACTAATGAGAGAAAACAGAACATGTAGTTACGTACTTTAATTTTTGCATGCAAAGTTAAGCTGTCTCCGATCCATTATGATATCAGATAAAGAAAGAAGGGGAAAGGGCTTAAAGAGTCTATACTTCTTGTAGTTCCTCCTTAACTAGCTGGTTATTTCTATCTCTCATGTATACGATAAATGGTTGATCTTTTGTTTCGTTCTGCCCTTTTTTCATCTGCTTCTGTGTATGAGTATTTTTAAAGTTTTCCAGAGCTGTATGCGGATGTAGTAGCAGCCTATGATCAAAGATGCTAAGGATCCCAATGATAACTAATTTTGCTACGTGTGACCAGTTGTTCAGATTAAACTTATTTTGCTTCTCTAGCATTCCTTTAGCTTCTTAATGGTCTTCGAATTGTGCAAAAATGATGTTAAATATATCAATTCAGTTTAATTGTTTGCAGTAACCTCGATTGTTCGACTTTCATTCTGTTTTATTTATTTTCATCAATCTGAGTGTATTTCTAGTCTTCATCAGCGAGTAATCTCATCCATGTAAAAACTAAAACAAAATTCGTCCTACTAATAACGATACATTTAAATATTTTGAATCGAATTGAACGATCAACTGACAGAAGAATACGATGTAACGGTTTGCTTCACAAATGTGTTTCAACATTTTCTATCGACATTTCTTACTTTAAATAAACCTAAATATCGTATAACGAATACTTTGTTAACATACCAGCACGCATCTTTTTCGACTGATGTCTTATCTCGTGTTATTTACATGTCTGGGAGTCATTTTCCCCACACATTGTATACTATGGGCTTTTCTTTTTTCAATTCTTATCTTAACGTCGCATGAAAAGGAAACAGTTTTGCAAATAGTGTGAGATCGTTCTTTCTTTTCATTGTTGGTGAAAGAAATCTCATAGCTCATCTCTTTCTCTAGTATTAAATACGGCACAATTAAAAATTTTACTATATTCGTTACCGCTGATGAAACATCTTTGCTAATCTTAATCTCTACAATGATCACAAAGATTCTAAACTCGATGAACAATCGACTTTTTTCTATTCTAGTTATTTGCCTAACAAAGGAAAATTATATGGGGCAAGTACATATGCAATGAGTACATTCATAAATAGACGGTGACTCTCTTTTCAATACCCAAAGGAGAAGTTAAGAAAACAAAAAAACGATTATTTTATGTAGCTATTAAATGTTCGTCTTACTTCGGAAATGTCTGATTTTATTTCGGATTCGTCGAAAATAGCTGAATTCAGTAAACTAATTCAGTATTAATACATATCCAGAATACAAAATTCTTTATGTTAAAAATGAAATAGAACTATTTGATGGCTAAATTAAGATGAACTTAGGTCGCTGTGCTAATGTCATTTATCATCTTTATACTGATGAACAACATCTTATTACTTTCGAACGGTTCTGTTTGCTTCAATATCTTTTCTCGATAGGACGCGCGGTGGCCTTGTATTCGTATTTGATGAATATCAAAATGATTATATTCCGAATAGATTCACCAAATAAAGACAAGTGGAACAAATTGATGAATTTCGATATTTAACAGCTTAAATTTGATTAGAAAATGTTCTTTAGAAATTTTCGTTCGAGATGTCAAAGCAAAGCTGAAACAAAATCGATTTCGTTTCAGAGTCAGCCCGAAAGCATATAATTAGCACTTCTCGTTCTTTACCTTAATCCTTTCGAGATGAGTGGTACATCACAAGTTATTACAAGATTCTTATCGCTTTCATAAAACTTATCTATTACCAACCTGTTGAATCTATTTCAAAATTTAATTCCAAAGCAAATCTCTACTTGAGTCTCAAGTGCTTCGCATTCTTACTGATTCAAGAAAGTTCCTACGAAATTTCCAAGAAAAAGGCTATACTGTTGACATTCTTGGATTTCTTTCAGAGTATTTTGCAGAAACGAAATCTGATCGCAAATACAAAAAAAAGGAAAATCATCATTCTCCGTTACAATAAGACAAACAGATTCCTTTTATTTAACTTGACAATCATACAATGAATGAAGTTTAAATTAGGCACTAAACCATAATTCAACATAAGAGTTCGTCGCATGAAAATATTCTAGACGACAGTTTTCCTTCTGCACAGCCGTCAAGCTATCCATTATTTCAACACCAAACGCACCATCTTTGTCGAAGTCGATTGTCAACATTTTCAATGCAGACAGGTCATGGTGCATTTTAGATACACCCAAGAACAGATCGTTCATTGTTAATTCAGCATTCAGTTGATACTTTTTTATATTTATGGTGTGTAACGACGATGATTTACCAAGACGATTAACAATACTTAACGAATCATTACCGACAGAATGAGCTATTTGACGAATAATAAGAATTTCTATCGACAATAACTGATCTATACGAAAATGATGATTGGTGAGTTGAAACAACAGTTCATTGTCTATATTCNTCACCTCTGATGGTCTCCCGGTATGAGGTAAATCGTCGAGTTCGAAGTTGCCATTCTTGAACCGATGGAACCAATGTTGCGCTGTGCGGATAGAGAGTGCACCCTTGCCCATCGTGCTACATATGTTGCGTGTTGCTTCCGTTGCTTTGCTACCCAAACGGAATTCATGAAGCAAAAGCACTCGGAGTTCCCTACGTGATATCTTCATTTCTAATTCGAGATCAACATCCATATCCATAGTTTTGTTGTCGTTCGAAAGACATTTGTACCCCTTTTATATACTCTTAATATGGAAACTTCTAGAACATTCTCGGATGTTCAAGAAAATTTGAGAAAAAAACGCAAAAAATTTCTTGCCAACCTAATATTATTATTCGAATCAGATGTACTTTGTATCAATACTGATTGGAGCTATTCATATTTACTTTAGTTATTTTCTTTTAGTTAAAAGCAGAAAGAGAGATTTCTCCAGTCCGAATCCAGATTAATGCACAAAAAAATAATCGCTGATGTTTTGTTTTTCATTTATCTCTCTTTTAGTGTTGAAATAGAGGTCAGTATGTATTCCACTGATTTCATATGGGTGTTTATTTGATGTTCATGATGGAACACTGGAAAAGAAAGAAATTCACTATGAATTGAGTTTATAATATCTTGGATCGGTGCGAAAAAATGCAACGAGAAAATACTGGGATTGTTTTTTTTTAGAGAACGTTGATATTTTAGTTTTGATACTTTCCGATCGTGGAAATAATAAATGATAACGTGTTTCAAGAAGAGCATTGATTTTCTGTATTGTCTTCACTGCTTTGATTCTGTGGCAGGAACTTTTTAGATTTTGAGAATAAAACGTTGTTAGATACAGATATAGATGGAAATTATCTAAGTGACCGTATATGAAAAACATTCTTCAACTGTTGTCTTCATTTGAAAACATTAATAATCGATCGTGTTTTTGCTCAATCGTAATACAAATATAAATATAAGTGAAAAATTGAAATCACACGTTCGAAAATATAAAATGAATTGCTTCCACTGAAATTTATCAAATAAAAGTTTTCATGAACTGGAAAAAGTTTGCCATAAGAATGTATCTACGCCGAGACTCTCGAGCTTCCCTACTTTTAGTTTCAACTATTTTTCTGCCTCAATCCCATAGGAGAAGTTTGAAAGTGAAACAGATCAAAACGGTGCACATCTTAAGTTTAATTTAAAAGGTTAGAGGCTCGGTCTCTTTCAACACATACTTAGTTTGTTGAATGCATTGAAAAATTGATCGATTTTCTCCAAGGAATTTGAAAGCAGATATAATTATATATGAAGAGAATAAACACGTGCCAACAACACTACTCGGTATATATCTATTCCAGTACTTTCTAAGAAGATACTATAGAGCTAATTAAAGCTATGAGGCTATTCTAAGAGAGAATGGAATGGACAGAACACTTTTTTATTCCTTTACAACTCGCATAAAACGATATCACTCAGACACATTTACGAGGCTATCAAAGCACATGAAGCGATGAAATTGTATCGCACCACTACTGATGTATGTTTGGATTTGTTCTTTTGTTATCATAAGGCTATTTCATTGTAGACATATATGCCACTGTGGTACACGTTCTTCTCTCTTGTTTTCTAGTATTCCCTTTCCATTCCGTTTTTTTATACCTATGAGAGCTGAACAGAAAGGCATCCACCATTATCTACACTCTATATTGCATTAATACTTTTTGTCTTTTGATTGAAATCGATTTAAAGTATGTTTTGAAATGTACCCTACTTATACGATTCACATGTCATCTTATTATCAATAAACTTAACAAATGTTTGACAAACTAGGATACAAAACAGGCTGTTTATCGGCTTTGTTCTGCGTTGTCATCAATGCCAACTGATTCCATGTTTTCCGCTTCATTCACATTTGAATCAACGATTTACTTAATGTAGTCACATTGATTATCAACTTCGTGAGTATCGTTATTGTCAGAGACGTTTGGGCTACTCAGAAGATGCTCGTGCTTTTCCATTGAAACACTTTGTTTTACTCTTGAAGTGATCTCATGTTGTAATACGTTTATTGATGAAATATCAATCTTTAACAAAAAAATTTTCCTTGGCGCATGCAAAATTTCATAAGCAAAAAGTTATAATAAACGAAAAGAGAAATATTGTTTTTTTTTGTGTTCTGATAAAACACCGTTGCCATAATTGAGAGGGCTATTGCCCAGGTCAATCAATCCCGTACTCGGATCCCATGTCCGATCTCATCGGATCCGAAACATGAATTTTCCAGCTTCTCTAAGGGCCATCACAGAATATAGCTGGAAAGATCGTTCATAAAATTTGCAGTAGCCGACGGAATTTTTCCAATCGGATTCCAATGTAATTCCGCTTCCAGGAATCCGATCGGATTTGTTGACCTGGGTCGTTCGGTCTATATTTGCCATAAATACCTAAATATGAAAATGACAAAGTAAACTTCTATCTATTCAAGAAAACAATGTTCAAGACACTGTACTTAACCAATTTCTGCGGTACTTCTGAAATGATGCTAAAACCGATCAATTTCTTGCAGAACTGGAAAATCGTCTATTCATTTTTCACGGTTCCACATCGATTTCTAAGACGCTATTCCTACTCCAACACTACACCTCTTATTTTCGAGTAGCTGCCTAATTAGACTTATAATATGAGTGCCAAACTCCTATAATACTAATCCTTTCCTAGGAATAGATAGAAATAGTTTTAGTTATAACTCCACCTTCACCCTTCATTTATATTCGAATTGATAGTAGTCTGTTAGCTGTCCATTTATAATATAATTCGTATTAGCCAACTCATGTGTAGTGTTGGAGTAGGAATAGCGTCTTAGAAGTTTATGTGGAACTGTGAAAAATGAATAGATGATTTCACAGTTCTGTAAGGAATAGATTCGTTTAGCATAGTTTCATAGGAACTACAGGAATTCGTAAAGTACAATCCCATATTAAAAAAAATCTGTGAAATTGAGATTTTGTCTGAGAAACCTGGTGGAACACCGATTTAAATAGCTTGGGAGTCCGTTAAGTTGAAAACAATCAATCCAAATCGATTAAATCCTGTTAGAAAACCAATTAAATCAATTAGGTTAACAAAAATTGATGAAAATAAAAAAATATGTGTTCTTTTTCTTGAAAAAGTGGATATAATAGATTTTAGTTGTTTGTTTTCAACTTGATCGATTACCGCGCTATTTAAATCGATTTTCCATTCGATTTCTAATGCAAAATCTGATTTTTACAGCTTTTTTACATGAGTCTTTATAATGTTAATCAATGATTTTCACTTACTTGGACCCACATCGACACCTTCATCGGCAGTTGCTGCTTCATAACCTGGGAGGGTGGCAGGCTGATGAGTAGTTGTTTTCCCAGTCATATTTAACTGGTAATCAACATAGTCCTGTTGATTAGATCCTACCCAGGTCGATCATTCCGGCGACTGGATCCGTTGAAATCTGAGTCGGTTTCGGTACAGTTCTTCTCGATTCCGGCACAGTTTTCGTCGATTCCAGCAAGTTCCGGCAGGTTCTTTGCCGCCGGATTCCGGCCGGAACCGACCGTGCCATAATAACCTGGGTAGCTGTTGTGCATTATTGGTCCCTGCCACTGCACCTGCCCCTGGAGAATTCATCTTATGAATGAAACAATTAATTAAACTAGCAAAAATAAATAAACTACACCTACTTCTGTAATAGTTTCTTCGTTTGATTGAAAATACAATTTGTACCTGATTTGTTTGCTAGGCTTTTATACACAATAGAATAAAATGCAACAACGCACTTTCTATAAAATAATACTGATAAACTCACGTATCTTTCTCTTGCTTCCTTCTCGTTATTGCGCATTCTATCTTTGATAAAATAAGTCGAATCGTTTTCTTTTTTTTTGCATTCCGAAACTGTAACAATAATCAAATTGAATAAATGAGTACACAGACAAAATCTTCGCACTAAACAACACTCAAACCAAACATCGACTTTGCGACATCGAATTTGAACAAAAGCAGTCTCCTTAAATCAGTATCTGTCAATCTCAATTCAATCCTTTTATGGACTTGGAAAAACGATTGTGTCAACAATTTGTTTTGTTAAAACGACTTTTCCCGTTCTTCGTTTGATAAAAAAAATCACGTCTGTGAAATTAATTCGACGCATTCAACTGATGACATATTTACTTTTCAACTCCTCTGCTTCTGCTAAAACTAAAAGATGAGTTTTTTAAATATATTCTTCTGGCCGATATCGAAAGAATATAATAAGACAAGACGATAACAGTTTAGCATCCAGCTGCATATTCTTTAATACAATTGATAAACTGAACACAACGAAACTCTGATGATGATTGAGACTATCACCTATTTAAATGATTAATCGTGTTGAAAGAATTCAATTGTTCCATCTTCGTCGTTTTGGTTCCACTAATAGCTTGTCCGTCACAGTTATACATTTAGCTTCTTAATAGTCTTCGAATTGTGCAAAAATGGCGTTAAATATATCAATTCGGTTTAATTGTTTACAGTAGCCTCGATTCTTCGACTGTCATTCTGTTCTATTTATTTTCATCAATCTGAGTATGTTTCTAGTCCTCATCGACGAATGATCTCATCCAGGTAAAAACTAAAACAAAATTCGTCCTACTGATAACGATCCATTTGAATATTTTGAATCGAATTGAACGATCAACTGGCAGAAGAATATGATGTAACGGTTTGCTTCACAAATGTGTTTCAACATTTTCTATCGACATTTCTTACTTTAAATAAACCTAAATACCGTATAACGAATACTTTTTTAACATACCAGCACGCATCTTTTCGATTGATGTCTTATCTCGTGTTATTTACATGTATGGGAGTCATTTTCCCCACATATTGTATACTATGGGCTCTTCTTTTTTCAATTCTTATCTTAATATCGCATGAAAAGGAAACAATTTTGCAAATAATGTAAGATCGTTCTTTCTTTTCATTATTGGTGAAAGAAATCTCATAGTTCATCTCTTTCTCTGGTATTAAATACGGCATAACTAAAAATTTTACTGTATTCGTTACCGCTGATGAAACATCTTTGCTAATCTTAATCTTTACAGTGATCACAACGATTCTAAACTCGATGAACCATCGATTTTTTTCTATTCTAGTTATTTGCCTAACAAAGGAAAATTATATGGGGCAAGTTGCATATACAATGAGTACATTCATAAATAGACGGTGACTCTCTTTTCGATACCAAAAGGAGAAGTTAAGAAAACAAAAAAACGATTATTTTATGTAGCTATTAAATGTTCGCTTTATTTCGTAAATGTCTGATTTTATTTCGGATTCGTCGAAAATAGCTGAATTTGATAAACTAATTCAGTATTAATACATATCCAGAATACAAAATTCTTTATGTTAAAAATGAAATAGAACTATTTGATGGCTAAATTAAGATGAACTTAAGTCACTGTGATAATCTCATTTATCATCTTTATACTGATGAACAACATCTTATTACTTTCAAACGGTTCTGTTTGCTTTAATATCTTTTCTCGATAGGACGCGCGGTGGCCTTGTATTCGTATTTGATGAATATCAAAATGATAAAATACCGAATAGATTCACCAAATAAAGACAAATGGAACATATTGATGAATTTCGATATTTAACAGCTTAAATTTGATTAGAAAATGTTCTTTAGAAATTTTCGTTCGAGATGTCAAAGCAAAGCTGAAACAAAATCGATTTCGTTTCAGAGTCAATCCGAAAGCATATACTTAGCACTTCTCGTTCTTTACCTTAATCCTTTCGAGATGAGTGGTATATCACAAGTTATTACAAGATTCTTACTGCTTTCATAAAACTTATCTATAATCAACCTGTTGAATCTATTTCAAAATTTAATTCCAAAGCAAATCTCTACTTGAGTCTCAAGTGCTTCGCATTCTTACGGATTCAAGAAAGTTCCTACGAAATTTCCAAGAAAAAGGCTACACTGTTGACACTCTTGGATTTCTTTCAGAGTATTTTGCAGAAACGAAATCTGATCGCCAATACAATGAATGAAGTCTAAATTAGGCACTAAACCATAGTTCAACATAACAATTAGTCGCATGAAAATACTCTAGACGACAGTTTTCCTTCTGCACGACCGTCAAGTTATCAATTGTTTCAACACCAAACGGAACATCTTTGTCGAAGTCGATTGTCATCATTTTTAATGCAGATAAGTCATGGTGCATTTTAGATACAACCAACAACAGATCGTTCATTGTTAATTCAGCATTCAGTTGATACTTTTTTATATTTATGGTGTGTAACGACGATGATTTACCAAGACGATTGACAATACTTAACGAATCATTACCGACAGAATGAGTTATTTGACGAATAATAAGAATTTCTATAGACAATAACTGATCAATACGAAAATTATGATTGGTGAGTTGAAACAATAGTTCATTGTCTATATTCAATACACGTATTTGTGACATCCAACTCAGCCAAGTCATCGTTGCATCAACATACTCTCCAGCTAAAACACAAAATATCAACTGAATCATCATTTCTCTTCGAATTCAATCTTACCTGTTTGATCCTCCTCAAATCTTTTCATTTCAACTGTATCGAACTGGAACATGTTTCTATTCACTTTTTCCAACTGGTATGGACCACATGCTTTGATACTAATCGCTTTTTGTGAAAGCAATCTAATTATAAGAAACGCTTCAAAACTGGAAGGTGACTATTGACTTCGTCGAGTTATTGAATTTAACATGTTCAAGAACGGCTGTTTAACACATTCATTTTTCCACATCAGTACTGCTAACCTTGATACTCCCGTCATCAACATTGGCATCAAACAATTTATACGATCATCACGATGATTAAATTGAGTATGCAGAGTTTCAGTTGTGATCATAGAAGGAACATCAAAGATATAAGGCAATGTAAATATTACATAGATGTGGCTGGTAATATCATAGTGACATNTAAAAATGTCACCATTGGACTCAGAATTAAATTCTGCATCGAATAAACTCGGTTTTATTGACCGGAATTCGTTTTCAGAAAATCCTTAGTTTGATGGTGCTAGCTCGATGGTGCTAGCTTCACACCGATGCTTAGAAGATTGTTCGTAGTGATAAATAAAGAAAATTATTTATTTTCTCTTGTGAAAGCAGGTAATAGTGAATTGTGACAACCATGTAATGATTAACACACCAGAAACAAAACATCACATGGCTTAGTGCCGAATTCATACTCTACTTTGCGAAACAGCTAGTCGTTCGTTAGCGTCACTCTCATTCAGCGGCCCCGAGCACTCTACCCTTTCCCTACACTTCTAATATAGTATGTATGGACACAGAAGTTCTGCAACACGCTAAACCGTCCTTTTCGTATAATAAAACTTTCACTGTCAAAGCACACGAATCGAAAGTAACTTGGCAGAGATAAGGAGCAACTCAATCTATGTAATTATTAGTTTAGTTCCGCGGAAATACTGAATTCGTCCATCCTCAAAGTCTGTTACGAGTAAATGCATATCTTTTCAATTAACTCACTTTTTATATAATATCACGAAATTTCAATAATGATATCGTCCTAGATCTAAATACAGTTAAAGTCATTATATTGCCAAAAACTTGAAAAATCCACATCTTAAATCCCTTGGGATTTGTTCAAGTCTATTATCTACATCTTCCATAAGATAGAGGGTTAAAGGTGACGAATCATTCCGGGTAGCACTCTCGTAAGAGTTAACAATTGAATAGCATAAAAGTCCTCATTTTTATTTAAGCTGACAATAATACAATGAATTAAGTTTAAATTAGGCACTAAACCATAATTCAACATAATAATTTGTCGCATGAATATATTCTAAACGACAGTTTTCCTTTTCCACGTCTGTCAAATTATCAATTATTTCAACATCAAACGGAGCATCTTTGTCGAAGTCGATCGCCATCATTTTCAATGCAGATAGGTCATGGTGCATTTTAGATACAACCAACAACAGATCGTTCATTGTTAATTCAGCATTCATTCGATATTGTTTTATATTTATGGTGCGTAATGACGATGATTTACCAAGACGATTGACAACACTTAGCGATTCATTAGCGACAGAATGAGTTATTTGATGAATAATAAGAATTTCTATAGACAATAACTGATCAATACGAAAATTAAGATTGGTGAGTTGAAACAATAGTTCATTGTCTATATTCAATACACGTACTTGTGATATCCAACTCAGCCAAGCCATCGTTGCATCAACATACTCAACAGCTAAAACACAAGATATCACTGAATCATCATTTCTCTTCGAATTCAATCTTACCTGCTTGATCCTCCTCAAATCTTTTCATTTCAACTGTATCGAACTGGAATATGTTCTTACTCACTTTTTCCAACTGGTATGGACCACATGCTTTGATACTAATCGCTTTTTCTGAAAGCAATCTAATTATAAGAAACGCTTGAAAACTGGAAGGCGACTATGTTTACTTCGTCGAGTTATTGAATTTAACATGTTCAAGAATGGTTGTTTTACACATTCATTTTTCCACATCAGTACTGCTAACCTTGATACTCCCGTCATCAACATTGGCATCAAACAATTTATACGATCATCACGGTGATCAAATTGAGTATGCAGAGTTTCAGTTGTGATCATAGAAGGAACATCAAAGATATAAGGCAATGTAAATATTACATAGATGTGGCTGGTAACATCATAGTGACATCCAATATGCATTGTCAGCCAATAGTCTATAAGTCATCCCTAGGCGTTTCTTTTCGATAATCACAAAAGTTTACCATTACCTGTTCGAAATGATTCGATGATTTTATTCGTCTGTTGGTCACAAAGACAAACTGTTTCAATCCAAAAAGAAAACTCTTTCATCTTTTTCATTTGAATGACAATGTTATCATAGAGATAATGACCATCAATATAAGCTAGTTGACGCTCACAGTTTGGATCTTGATGCATAAGAGTTAAGTGTAAGATTTGCAGACTATTTTGAAATAAATGAATACATTTGACAACACTGGATATATCCAACACAATCGCAGAGGGGAATCTAACTCAAAACATGAAATTCAAATTCAGATTGACTTTTAAGAATCTTTTACTTCATGACTAGCTTCGTTAAATTGCAACATGGATTAAACGACGTTGGAAATAATTCTTGCGCTTCTTTTATCACACGTGTGCCAACTTCAACATCTATTTCAGTGAAAAAAAACACATTTCTAGAGTTATTGAAGCATATTTGAGAACCTCACCAAGTGTCGTTAAGTTCGGAAGAAACATCAACAAATATTTCAGCGTAGCCAAGTTTCGAACGTGGATTTTAAGATATATGAGAGAATGATGAGAGCGATATGAGGATGGAAGAGGTTCGCCAAGAAATAAACCATCTTTGGTATCACAGTGACTCATTGTACAGCTCTTCAATCGATGTTGCGCTGAGTTGCTAAAGAGATGTTCACAAAGGAGAAGAGATATTTTGTCCAATGGACATTTATGCAATGTTAATTGATCGAGATATGGAATTGTTGAGAGATATGGCAAAACATCATTGGCATCGGAATCATGAACATTACGCAACACAATTGTGTGCAATTGTGGAAATATGTCATGAAGTGATGAAGAACCTTGTACAAAATATCATTAGAGAGACGAATTCCACAAAAAATATCACTCACTGAGACAATAATGAGAGAAAAGGCGAATCTGGGAAAAAGAATCTTGATGGCCCAGCTTCAAAATTTGTACATTGAAGCGAAATTGATCTAAGAATCGAGTACAACAGAGTTGAAATGTTGAAAGCGTTGTCGTGTAGAAATCAATTGTCTTGTAACAATAACTTTGTAACAGTCGATTGTATCGTTGAGATTTGATCAAACTAAAACTTCGAATTGTTTCAGCATGAGTTAAATGCATCCATATGATTAACACAAGTTCATTAGGTAAATCGGTAAAACGAGTAGGCGTCATCCTTGTTCTATTTTGTATATTGAATGAACAAGTTCAGTCGATTGTGACGTGCGTTCTTCTTTGTTTATCAATGGTCATCGAGAGAACGTATTGCATTATTCGAGTAGATGCGCTTTATATCAATACTGATTTGAGCTATTAAGTTTAGTTCTTTTCTTTTATAATTGAAAGCAGAAAGAGAGATTCTTTTACGTCGAAATGGAGAGCGTTTTTTGTCATTTGTGTCTCCTTTTGGCATTGAAAATAGAGGTCAGCATCTACTCCACTCATTTCATATGGGTGATGTTTATAAAGAAACGCTCGAAATGGAAGAAATCCACTAGGAATGGAGTTTATAAGGTTTGCGATCATGACGATGATAACGTGTTTGACGAAATACTCGGTAATATCTGTTCAGGTGCTCCTCAAAATAAATAGTATGAAGCTAATTGAAGCTATATGAGATTATTCTCGGAATGAATGGACAGAACACACTTTTTTGTTCCTTTACAGCTAACATAAAACAATATCACTTAGATACATTTACGGCGCTATCAAAGGACATGAAACAGTGAAACTATATCGCTTCTCTACTCACGATGTCCTACGCATTTAAACAACATAAAAAAATTATTTTGTTGAGAGCAAATTTTTCGAGGTGAATCGATTATATTAAAGTTTATTATAGCTTTCAAGAGCACTGTATTCTCAGTAATTCAGCATAGCTCGTGTAAAATTTCCAACTAAAACTTATACTACCGAGAATTGCTCTGAAATTCCTTGAAGAAAGGAAAGAAAAAGAAACCAAAACAGCTCGTATTTTCTTGCCCAACATGAGTCTCGAGTTGCTGTCGAACGAACTGTTAATCGAATTTTTCGAGTATTTATCAACTGGTGAGATTTTTCATGCGTTTCACGGACTTAATTATCGATTTAATTCGGTTCTTGCTAATCATTTTCGAATGCATGGCTTTGATTTGCGATGCATATCTCGATCTGACTTTGACGCAATCGGTCGAATATACTTTTCATCAACACCCCAACAAATCACTTCGATCTGTTTTTCTAATAATGAACAAACTCCAGCGCAAATCAATCGTTTTTTCAACCAAGGATTCGAATTTTCAAAATTTACGTACTTAAAGTCACTTTCGATATATTATTTGTCTCCAGGACCGTTAGCTCATCGGATCATAGGCGAACTTGGAAATTTACCCAATTTCTCTCGTCTTGTCTATAAACCTGTGTATCGATCAACCAATTCCTTTTGCGCACATCGTTTCATCAATAGCATTTGGCATTTACCAAACTTGAAATATTGCTGTTTACAATTCAAATTTGGACCGCTCATGGTTTTTGCTATACCACTCACGGTTTCATCAAGTATTGAATATCTCACCATAGAAGATATCGATATATCACCCAACGAATTCATTCAGCTATGCAACCAAACACCAAATTTACAGTATTTATCCTTGCGACTTGCCTTTGAACTTCCTTTCTATGGTGCGCTGTCTTTTGCTCCGAAGATCACGAAATTGTATATAACTTACACCGTTCGATCTGATCAACTGTTCTCGATACTAAAAATGCTGCCAATGATAACCTACTTGAAATTAAATGTTCAAAGTTTTGCCATTGATGGATATCAAGCAGAAATACTTCTCCGGACAAGTTTACCACAAGTGAAACACCTGCATTTCCGCATGGTACATACGCTCGATGATGATGATAATAAAGAACAAGAAATTGAGAAAATATTGGATACATTTCGTCGTCCGTTTTGGATTGACGAGCATCGTTTGTTTCTGCAATGCGAATGGAAGACAGATGACCGAAGCTGTGTTTTCTATACATTGCCATATGTGTTCGAAGGTTATGATTATGCAAAAGCAACTTTATTCAAATCAACGTATCCTGTTGAAAACAAACGATGGCTGAATAAGACGGTATATGCACTCAATTATCATCTATTAGAACTCGATTGTTCTGCACCATTGAACATTCAGTTTGACAACGTTATAGTTCTTTCTATTAAACTTCCTGTTGATGGAAAGCTTTGGTCTACAGTTGCAAGTCTTCCTCGAGNAGAATCTTTTACTTCATGACTAGCTTCGTTAAATTGCAACATGGATTAAACGACGTTGGAAATAATTCTTGCGCTTCTTTTATCACACGTGTGCCAACTTCAACATCTATTTCAGTGAAAACAACACATTTCTAGAGTTACTGTAGCATATTTGAGAACCTCACCAAGTGTCGTTAAGTTCGGAAGAAACATCAACAAATATTTCAGTGTAGCCAAGTTTCGAACGTGAATTTTAAGATATGTGAGAAAATGATGAGGTTGATATGATGACAGAAGAGGTTCACTAAGAAATAAACCATCTTTGGTATCACAGTGACTCATTGTACAGCTCTTCAATCGATGTTGCGCTGAGTTGCTAAAGATATGTTCACAAAGGAGAAGAGATATTTTGTCCAATGGACATTTATGCAATGTTAATTGATCGAGATATGGAATTGTTGAGAGATATGGCGAAACATCATTGGCATCTGAATCGTGAACATTGCGCAACACAACTGTGTGCACTCGAGGAAATATATCACGAAGTGATGAAGAACCTTGTGGAAAATAGTTTGAGAAAAAAGTCTCACATAAAATAGATTACTCACTGAGACAATAATGAGAGAAAAGGCGAATCTGGGAAAACGAATCTCGATGACCCAGTTTCAAAATTTGTACATTGAAGCGAAATTGATCTAAGAATCGAGTACAACAGAGTTGAAATGTTGAAAGTGTTGTCGTGTAGAAATCAATTGTCTTGTAACAATAACTTTGTAATAGTTGATTGTATCGTTGAGATTTGATCAAACTAAAACTTCGAATTGTTTCAGGATGAGTTAAATGCATCCATATGATTAACACAAGTTCATTAGGTAAATCGGTAAAACGAGTAGGTGTCATCCGTGTTCTATGTTGTATATTAAATGAACAAGGTCAGTCAATTGTGGCGAGCGTTCTTCTTTGTTTATCAATGGTCAAGTAGATGCGCTTTATATCAATACTGATTTGAGCTATTCATATTTAGTTTAGTTCTTTTCTGTTATAATTGAAAGCAGAACGAGAGATTCTTTTACGTCGAAATTAAGAGCATTTTTTGTCATTTGTGTCTCCTTTTGGCATTGAAAATAGAGGTCAGCATCTACTCCACTCATTTCATATGGGTGATGTTTATAAAGAAACGCTCGAAATGGAAGAAATTCACTAGGAATGGAGTTTATAAGGTTTGCGATCATGACAATGATAACGTGTTTGACGAAATACTCGGTAATATCTATTCAGGTGCTCCTCAAAATAAATAGTATGGAGCTAATTGAAGCTATATGAGATTATTCTTGGAATGAATGGACAGAACACACTTTTTTGGTCCTTTACAGCTAAGAAAACAACATCACTCAGATACATTTACGGCGCTATCAAAACACATGAAACAGTGAAACTATATCGCTCATTCTCTACTCAGGATGCCCTACGCATTTAAACAACATCAAAAAATTATTTTTTTGAGAACGAATTTTTCGAGGAGAGTTAGTTATACTTATACTAAGTTTATTACAGCTTTCAAGTGCACTGTATTCTCAATAATTCAGCTTAGCTCGTGTAAAATTTCCAACTAAAATTCATACTACCGAGAATTGCTCTGAAGTACTTTGAAGAAAGGAAAGTAAAAGAAACAAAAACAGTTCGTATTTTCTTACCTAAAATGAGCCTCGAGTCGCTGTCGAACGAACTGTTAATCGAATTCTTCGAGTATTTATCAACTGGTGAGATTTTTTATACGTTTCACGGACTTAATTATCGATTTAGTTTGGTTCTTGCCAATCATTTTCGGATGCATGGCTTTGATTTGCGATGCATATCTCGATCTGACTTTGACGCAATCGGTCGAATATACTTTTCATCAACACCCGAACAAATCACTTCGATCTGTTTTTCTAATAATGAACAAACTCCAGCGCAAATCAGTCGTTTTTTCGATCAACGATTCGGATTTTCAAAATTTACGCACTTAAAATCACTTTCGGTATATTATTTGCCTCCAGGACCGTTAGCTCATCGGATCATAGGCGAACTTCGAAATTTACCCAATTTCTCTCGTGTTGTCTATAAACTTGTGTATCGATCAACCAATTCCTTTTGCGCACATCGTTTCATCAAGTATTGAATATCTCACCATAGAAGATATCGATATATCACCCAACGAATTCATTCAGCTATGCAACCAGACACCCAATTTACAGTATTTATCCTTACGAATTGCCTTTGAACGTCCTTTCTATAGTACGCTGTCTATTGTCCCGAAGATCACGAAATTGTATATAACTTACATCGTTCGATCTGATCAACTGTTGTCGATACTAAAAATGCTGCCAATGATAACCTACTTGAAATTAAATGTTCAAAGTTTTGCCATTGATGGATATCAAGCAGAAATACTTCTCCGGACAAATTTGCCACAAGTGAAACACCTGCATTTCCGCATGGTACATACGCTCGATGATGATGATAATAAAGAACAAGAAATTGAGAAAATATTGGATACATTTCGCCGTCCGTTTTGAACTGACGAGCATCGTTTGTTTCTGCAATGCGAATGGAGGACAGATGACGGAAGCTGTGTTTTCTATACATTGCCATATGTGTTCGAAGGTTATGATTATGCGAAAGCAACTTTATTCAAATCAACGTATCCTGTTGAAAACAAACGATGGCTGAATAAGACGGTATATGCACTCAATTATCATCTATTAGAACTCGATTGTTCTGTGCCATTGAACATTCAGTTTGACAACGTTACAGTTCTTTCTATTAAACTTCCTGTTGATGGAAAGCTTTGGTCTACAGTTGCAAGTCTTCCTCGAGTAAAACAACTTTATGTCTCACTAGCTAATGATGATGATGATGGAAATAATCGAAATCAGCTACAAAGTATACTGGGTCATATGCCTCATCTATTAATATTTTACATTCGTGAAGACCCATCGAGAGTCTTGAATATCTTATCATTTCAAAGCGAAAACCTATCTGTATTCTTCCTAGATTTAATTTCAGCTAATTTAATATATAATAATGATCAATGTGCTCAATTGAGTCAACTATCGTTTGTTATTAATTGTAAAGCTCTTGGTATTGCTGTTGAAAATCGAACATGTGTTATAAGTCTCATTAATGCATTAAATAATCTTCAAGCATTAACGATTGTCAGTCTAGATGATAATTGGAATAGCGCATCAGTATCGGATAATGATGAACTTGTTCGATGGTTTCAAACACAGTTACCATCTGCATACGTTATGCGAAGAAGTAATGCGCCACGAGTCATCAATTTTTGGCTACAGTGACTTTTTTTCCGAATTCCTTCTCTTTTACATTAATAAACATGATTCATTGCTTCGAAATGACAGAACGCGCAATTACCTACTTGTAAGTATGCGCACGTAAAACATCGAGAGAAAGAAAAAAATATAGCAAAACACACGTGTTTCACCATTTTTGTTCTTATTTTTGTAGATACATCGATGTCTGACGTATCTAGTATTATTACTTTGCTACAAAACTTTTTCATTCATCTACGTCTGAAATTTAGTCTATTTCTCGCACCTATTTATCTGTATGGTATTATCGTAGCGAATAGGAATATTTTTACATGGGAATTCTTCGTTGAATTTGTTATTCTTCATGTTTTTGTGTATGGTGGTGTGTATGCATTAAATGATTATTACGATCGAGATGAACAAGGACCGATTGGTGGACTTGAAAATCCTCCGGCAATGAGAGGTGACACACTTTTCTATTTAGCATGGGCATGGAAATTAATTGGATTAACTCTATCGATCTTCTATTCAGCATCTACACAATTTATTGTCAGCTGTTTTCTCGATGTTCTCATGTCAGTTGCCTATTCACATCCAAAAATTCGTCTAAAAGGTAGTCCGTTCGGAAGTGTTCTGTTGGTCATCTTCTTACAAGGTTTTCTTACTTATTATTTGGGGACAATTCTCAACAATAGTAATCTTAATGGAATCTCGTTGGTTAAATTTTGGTTAGGAGCATTTGTTATCATTTTTCTGGTTCTCGGCACGTATCCTTTGACTCAAGTCTATCAAATCGAACAAGATAAACGTCAAGGTGATTGTACGCTCGCTATCGTCTTTGGCATTGAAAAGACTTTCCAATTTGCGTCATTATGTCTATTTGTTAGTGGCACGTTGAATAGTTTAGTTATCGGATACTATTACCATTGGTGGGAGGGTGTCATCATTCTCATCGGTTCGTTGTTATTTCAATATGATCTTCGAACATGGAGAAAGATCTTTTCCAAACAATCAGTGAATGAAAATTTTCAGACTTTACATCGATTGTTTTCTGTTCAAACTGTTTTTCCATTTGTTTTTTGCCTTGCACATTTACTACACATTTTGTAGCAATTATTCTCATGGCGCAAATATCGTTTGATATTCAACAAAAGTTACGTTTGCCGTTGTTTAGCTCCCAAGACTGCTAAAAAAACGGGATCACACGAAAGATTGTGTCCGATAGATGTCATTCAAATGCGTTTCCAATACTGCGTGTCTGTCTTTTTGGGAGAGGTCATTATATGAGAGAATCATGATGGACTTCCCTATCATATTCATCTATTTAAAACATCAATGTCGAACAATACTGAAAGTGCAATAACATCTATTAGACGTCTTTATGTTTTGTTATGTGGGTTTGAAATAATTCCGAAAACAATTTCAACGAAAAATCTGGGTGGGAATATTATAATGAGTGAACCTATTAGTGCATATTTACTCGACACGACTGCTGGTTGGATACTTATTGATAGTGGCATTGATGAAACAAGAATTGATGATCCAGACTTAGCGAAAACATACTTTTTGGATCGCGGTTGGAAACCACTCCCAGTCGTTCTCCCGATGCATCGTTTAACATATCAACTATCACTGATTGGCGTTGAACCACAAATGATCAAGTCTATTATACTAACTCACACACATGCTGATCATACGGGAAATTTAAAACATTTTCCCAATGCAAAAATTTACATTCAACGTCAAGAATACGCATATGCATTCCAATCTCAAGAAACCATAGGTAGTGCTTGGTTTCGTGATGATTATGACAATCGTCCAGAGACTGATTGGTATTTAGTAGATGGTGATATGAATATTCTTCCTGGTTTAGATCTGATATCAACACGTGGTCATACGCCCGGTCATCAATCTGTTTGTGTTCGATTACCGAGTGGAATGATTGCTATTTTGACAGGTGATGCTGGAGATTTGTTGGAAAACTATGAGAAAGAAATCTTACCAGGAGAAACAGTCGATGATCAAGCTGCACTCGAATCAATCCGACGATTGAATCAGTTGGCATCTTTGCCTAATTCACATTTATTTATTGGCCATGATCCAATTCTTATTCAAAAACTTAAAATTGTACCGGATTATTATGATTAACTGCAGCATTTTTGCATGTGCGTGGCAAGTAAACGAATCGTCTTCGCATTCAAAACATTTATCCAATAGACAATCATTCGAAACCTTGTCTATAAAAACTGTTGATTTCGTGTCAATTTGAACTGATTTTTCATGAAAATCTTGAGGAGAAAGGCGTAAGTGACATATATTCTCATGATCTATCTAATTACTTTTATTTCGAAATCATCTTGAATAAAATATATTCTTTATGATAAGAAGCAATCCAAAAAAGCACAAGATAGTGTTTTACTACTAGATCATTTGAGTAGTTATTGTATCATAGGCTGTTGTTTCGTTTGTTGATATATCGTCTGTTGATGTTTCATTTGCGCCAACTTGTGAATAGATGGTATCGATTGAAAAGAATGGTGGTAAAGCAACAGATGGTAATTCCCGTTGATCACTGGTAGTCTCAAACTTTAAACACACTTCTAGAGCACAGTTTCCATCGATAGATCCGATAGCATAGGCGCTATAACCTTCTGAACAGCCTTTTACATGCGTTCGAGTAGCCATATTGCCATATTGGCATGAATACATACCACCATAACGAGGAAGATCTTTTCTGCTTGTTGGTGTTCTTTCAGCAAGACATACTCTGATGCCATTGATATCGTAAGCTACGAATAGGCTATCAGGACAAGTAAAAGCATTAGTTACAGGATTAACTTTCTGCGATGCGTATGAACCACCGAACAGATAGGTCGATTGGACATCAATACTACTGTAAGAGCCAGACCGTTGAGTAGCATTACGATTGCAAACATACAAATAAAGTTCACGTCGTCCTTGGCCTACGTAAACGTCTTCACAACATGTTTTCAACCACAAAAATCCACATTTCCAGCAATTTTGACGATATAGTGATTGATATTGAGATGAAGTATGCAACAAATACTTATTGAAACCGTATACACACTGATCGTTGCCAGTATAGTAATTATTCTGTCGCAGATAATAGCAGTGTCTAAACAAAAACAACTTCGCTAAACATTTCTCACTGATCAGACTCGCAACTCACGACGACATGCGAGAATCTTCTGAGCAAGTGCGAATAAATCCGCCAAATTGTGTCGATTGTGAAATTGGAGCACAAGAGCTATCCGCAACATTTGAAACCCAGTTAAAAGACGGCGAATTTCGATCCATGCATCCTCGAATCGTATTCATTTCCACATAAGAATTAACTGCCTGCTCAATTTCTTTTCGGACGTTCGTTAATGCAACTTCGGTCATCTCAGGAAACTGGTCTGTTTGGATGAAATATGTAATGTTCTCAATACTTCGTCGAACAATAGCTGGATTCGTTTTTATCGAGGCTTGCCACGCTTCCATGTGACCGCCTAATATGAATACGTCACCACCTTTGGAACTTACCACTTTCCGTTGAATTCTGTTTTTATGTTCATTGACCGTAGCTTAATTTTGACTGGAGCTAGAACTGAAGCTTGCTGATATGCTGAATATACCTCTGAAAGAAGCTTCTGCTGCTGCCTTGTAAGCATTTTTCGACGTAGTACTCGAATAGTAATCTGAATGAGATATGAAATTTTCTTCAACAATTGATCCACCCAAATACAACCGACTGGTAACATGTGTGCCATACTTTTTGACAAATAACTGTGCGTAATAAGTGGCCAAGAGACTCTCGTTATTCGATTGATGTTTAGCAATATTAGCTATATCCTTCTTCACTTGGGGATGTACGGGGCATGACGACTGAATAATTGCATCTACCATCAGATAGTTAATTTCATTTCGAAGAACGACGGTCTTCTCTTGGCCTTGCTCCTTTTTTGCTGTCTGATATTCTTTGGAATAAGAGCCACTGATCTTGAAACCTAAGTAACCAGCACTGCCACCTATCATCAGATTTGATGAATAATCACTGCTGTGCGAATTATACATGTCCATCTCTGTTGATGCCAATTCAATCTTGTTCTCATGTAAAGGAATTAGTTCAATACATGATTGAAACTTGTCTGAATCATTAAAATTTGACACATCATAGATTGGAGACATATCCAGAAATCGTAAGTGATCCCAGCCAAAGCCTGGATACACCTGCACTTTCAACGATCTTTCGCCGCGACAACCCAATAGTAGTAACAACCAAAGGTTGAGATAAATCTTCATATTTAACCACCGATCAATCTCTAAATCCAGGGACTGTACTTTAAAAAAAAGGATGTTCAGGAAAGCTTTAGTAGCAAAATCTGTATGTAGTATATTTTCGCTTCGAAAATTTATTCAAGCGACCAGTACGAGGCTTAAATATTATCAATCGATACTTTAACAGTTTGTCTGAGATTGTTATATGTTTTGATCGAATTCTAAAGATTAACGGCTCATGTTACTGTTTTTCAGGTATGTATGGATCATTTTATTATATCATTATCGCAAATAATCGTAGTTTATCTATCTTTCTCCGATTTCAAAATACTTAACTAAAAAAATCATGCACAAAAACAGGTACATGTAGGTCATACTTTTTCTCGGTGCTTTTTCTGTTACTTATCAGTATGTTTAATCATTCGATGGAAATTCGGTTAGCCGCCATTAGGTCGAAAGGACAAATGTCAAAAATTTCATTAAGAGACTTTCTCTATTCTTCAATTAATAGCATAAAATAATCACTAGGGTAGACATAGGTAAGACAGAAAAATGTAGCATTATTGTCGCTAGGCAACTATGAATGACAGACCATCAATATTTCCCATAGTTGCGATAGCACGACCACAATGTCATTCATTAAAATAACTTATATGATGTTGGATAGCAATCGTGTTTAGCTTCTTTTTTCTTGCACATAAACCAGCAATAAATTGAGTATAAAATATGGAAAGAACGGTTTTTCTTCTAAAATTTAACGAAAGCTCAAATATTTAGATATTCTGTACTCAGCGCAACTATGAAATGCTTAATGAACATTTAGTCATTAGAACTAATTTCAGTTTCGCACGAATAGACTCGTCAGAAAAGATTGCATATCGTGGAGGGTAACATCTGATGTTGGGTAGACAAATGTCATCTTTACATCTCTCTCTTTTCGATCTTTTCTCTCCTTCGATTTTCGGCCTAATGAGGGCACATCAGAATAATATGTGTATGACTCGGACGAGAGTCGACTGAAATGGAAGAAGAAAAAGATACCCTCACTACCGCTCGTTCGTATCGAATGAGAATTGATCGAAATAAACAAGCGTGCACGCACATCCGTCTTGTTCAACTAGGTGAGTGGTCCAATTTTGGAGACGGCACATAAGAGTGAATCTGCTTTCATATATTGAAATTCTATCGGAAGGACTATTCCAAATTCGACTATTTTTATTTACGTCATTTCTCACCATTCAAAATAAGATATAGACAATATTTCGAATCAGTTTAAATAGGTCCATGATCAAGATGTGTTGATAGCTTGATAAACGTTTGTGTTCCTCGCAATGTCTCTACAGTTTTCTTGATGGGATGATTCAGTGGGACGGAAAGGTGGTCAGTATACAGTTTTCGAACGGGCAAGTACACGCTTTTTCCTAGAGATGAACAAATCTTTGATGGGGCGCGCCAGATATACGGGACTCGTGACATCCGTCTGGATAAAATACTCGGATGATCAGATTCGTAAAATTTTTCCTCTCATTTTTTTTCTATATATGTACACAAGCGAAATCTACGCAGATCTTCTCCCGAACGAGATGGTAATAGAGCTTTTTCGTTAGGAGTCACCTTTTAAGATGAGATCTCTTGACTTTTCTTTCGAATGAGGTGCTTGTCTAAATGATTTTTTTGGGAAAAAATCGAAGACTACTAATTGAAAAGCTCAAAAATTTTGAGGAAAATTTCATTGGAATGATCATCACGATTCTTTGAGCTAAGATTCGCGTCAATTCGAATAAAGATTTTCTATTTAGAACTTGTGTTAATACCATGCTTGGCGATCTACCTACAGAACTTTGGATGACAATAATTGGTTACCTCTCATCATCAGATGCACTTCTAGCCTTCGCTCATACAAATAATCGTCTTAATACAATCGCTTGTCAACATATCGCTCGATGTCTTACGTTTGCCAGCAACATGTCGCTCGCTCGCTTTCGTCACTATTTTCAAGTGGAACATCCACGCGTTCGTCATCTCGTCACTCGACTTCGCATCGACGACTATATGCATTTGAATGAACTCGTCCTTATTCTCCTCGCGAATGATCAGAACAATAATGACATTCTATTTCCTCGACTCAAACGATTTGATTTGTGGGGCTGGTATGAAGACACACATTTGAGCACATTTCTCTGTCATCCTTCTCTATTCACACTTCGTCATGTTAATATCAATATGGATCGGTGTTTGTTCAATTATCTGAATATGAACATTCTTCTCCAGTGTACCTCACTCCAATTGAAAATAGCGCCTCTTGAAACGCTAAAACTGATCTATCGGACTGGTACGTAATAATCTACTGATAAACTCTTTTCATTTAGATCAAAAAAAGACATCTAACAAGCGACTTGTATGCACAAGATTTTAATTTTTTTTTCGAATTTCACTAAAAGAAAGCCATATACCAAGTCTAAAATGACTATTTTCCCTTTTTCAGCATGCTTTGTTCTGCAAAGAAGAAAAATATTACCCCAGACTTTTCCGTTTCGCGCAACGTTTTATAAACTCTACAATTTGATTGATTAATGAAGTTTAGTTCCTGTTCTGGAAGTTTCTGTTAACTTTTAATTTTGATAATAGTAGTGCGCTGTTTCAGTGTGATAAAACACAACTCTGGAAATAATCGAAAAAATTAAGCTGCAAACGAAAATTGCAAATCTTTCTCGAAATGAATACGTTAACATTCTAGTTAGTGTAGCTACACGTCATCGTTTCATTTTTCTAGTTAATCCACCCCCAATCGCGGAACGAGTTAAAACATTCCAGACTACTATTGGCTCTTGGTTACGGGTATTACCCATCGATCGACCAATTATGGTATGGAATTCACTGGTTCAGCTGACACTATCGATCAGTGAACGGACTATTTTGTGGTTGCTTTTGGACACTTGCCCGATGCCGTCGCTTATTCTACTTGATGTCACCTTCGAGTATGATGCTAATCCTCGTTATCCTGTCGACAAACTGACGATCATGAATGGTACAAGTAATTTCGTCGAATTGCGTACCCTTAGGCTAAAAAATAGTCCGTTTGGTTTCATTCAACGTTTACTTGACAGCTTTAACATGTCTCGAATCGATACTGTTTCCTTTATTAATATTTATGACAATGCTCAAGCAAATTCTGGTGAGTACGAATGCAGTTAGTTATTGTCATATTCTTCATCTGGTACATCCACGATGTAAATCGGATTTTTGACGTCGAAGATGTATTCATTTCGGCTTTCAGACACCATTTCATAAATACGTCTGGTTCAGTGAATTCGACTAATCTAGACTAGAGCATGACACAACCAAAGTCAGTCCCAGTGGAAGATTTGGTCGCGTTTTTATCTAATATCGAATACTATCGTTCGGAAGAAATTCATCGCTAAGTTGAGCTAGTACATAAGACCTTTATTTCCACCACACAAGTCTACACAGNTTGGTATTGCTGTTGAAAATCGAACATGTGTTATAAGTCTCATTAATGCATTAAATAATCTTCAAGCATTAACGATTGTCAGTCTAGATGATAATTGGAATAGCGCATCAGTATCGGATAACGATGAACTTGTTCGATGGTTTCAAACACAGTTACCATCTGCATACGTTATGCGAAGAAGTAATGCGCCACGAGTCATCAATTTTTGGCTACAGTGACTTATTTTTTTCCGAATTCCTTCTCTTTTACATTAATAAACATGATTCATTGCTTCGAAATGACAGAACGCGCAATTACCTACTTGTATGTATGTGCACGTAAAACATCGAGAGAAAGAAAAAAATATATAGCAAAACACACGTGTTTCACCATTTTTGTTCTTATTTTTGTAGATACATCGATGTCTGACGTGTCAAGTACTATTACTTTGCTACAAAACTTTTTCATTCATCTACGTCTGAAATTTAGTCTATTTCTCGCACCGATTTATCTGTATGGTATTATTATAGCGAATAGGAATATTTTTACATGGGAATTCTTGATTGAATTTGTTATTCTTCATGTTTTTGTGTATGGTGGCGTATATGCATTAAATGATTATTACGATCGAGATGAACAAGGACCGATCGGTGGACTTGAACATCCTCCGGCAATGAGAGGTGACACACTTTTCTATTTAGCATGGGCATGGAAATTAATTGGATTAACTCTATCGATCTTCTATTCAACATCTACACAATTTATTGTCAGTTGTTTTCTCGATGTTCTCATGTCAGTTGCCTATTCACATCCAAAAATTCGTTTAAAAGGTAGTCCGTTCGGAAGTGTTCTGTTGGTCATCTTCTTACAAGGTTTTCTCACCTATTATTTGGGGACAATTCTCGACGATAGTAATCTTAATGGAATCTCATTGGTTAAATTTTGGTTAGGAGCATTTGTTATCATTTTTCTGGTTCTCGGCACATATCCTTTGACTCAAGTCTATCAAATCGAACAAGATAAACGTCAAGGTGATCGTACGCTCGCTATCGTCTTTGGCATTGAAAAGACTTTCCAATTTGCGTCATTATGTCTATTTGTCAGTGGCACGTTGAATAGTTTAGTAATTGGATACTATTACCATTGGTGGGAGGGTGTCATCATTTTCATCGGTTCGTTGTTATTTCAATATGATCTTCGAAAATGGAGAAAGATCTTTTCCAAACAATCAGTCAATGAAAATTTTCAGACTTTACATCAATTGTTTTCTGTTCAAACTGTTTTTCCATTTGTTTTTTGTCTTGCACATTTACTACACATTTTGTAGCAATGATTCTCATGGCGCAAATATCGTTTCGGTATTCAACAAAAGTTACGCTTACCGTTGTTTAGCTCGGAAGACTGCTAAAAGAACGGGATCACACGAAAGATTGTGTCCGATAGATGTCATTCAAATGCGTTTCCACTACTGCGTGTCTGTCTTTTTGGGAGAGGTCATTCTATGAGAGAATCATGGTGGACTTTCCTATCAATATTAATCTATTTAAAACATCAATGTCGAACAATACTGAAAGTGCAATAACATCTATTAGACGTCTTTATGTTTTGTTATGTGGTTTTGAAATAATTCCGAAAACAATTTCAACGAAAAATCTGGGTGGAAATATTATAATGAGTGAACCTATTAGTGCATATTTACTCGACACGACTGCTGGTTGGATACTTGTTGATAGTGGCATTGATGAAACAAGAATTGATGATCCAGACTTAGCGAAAACATACTTTTTGGATCGCGGTTGGAAACCACTCCCAGTCGTTCTCCCGACGCATCGTTTAACATATCAACTATCACTAATTGATGTTGAGCCACAAATGATCAAGTCTATTATACTGACTCACACACATGCTGATCATACGGGAAATTTAAAACATTTTCCCGATGCAAAAATTTACATTCAACGTCAAGAATACGCATATGCATTCCAATCTCGTGAAACCATAGGTAGTGCTTGGTTTCGTGATGATTATGACAATCGCCCAGAGACTGATTGGTATTTAGTAGATGGTGACATGAATATTCTTCCTGGCTTAGATCTAATATCAACACGTGGTCATACGCCCGGCCATCAATCTGTTCGTGTTCGATTACCGAGTGGAATGATTGCTATTTTGACAGGTGATGCTGGAGATTTGTTGGAAAACTATGAGAAAGAAATCTTACCAGGGGAAACAGTCGATGATGAAGCTGCGCTTGAATCAATTCGACGATTGAATCAGTTGGCATCTTTGCCTAATTCACATTTATTTATTGGCCATGATCCGATTCTTATTCGAAAACTTAAAATTGTACCGGATTATTATGATTAACTGCAGCATTTTTGCATGTGCGTGGCAAGTAAATGAATCGTCTTCGCATTCAAAACATTTATCCAATAGACCACCATTCGAAACTGTGGCTATAAAAACTATTGATTTCGTGTCAATTTCAACTGATTTTTCATGAAAACCTTGAGGAGAAAGGCGTAAGTGACATATATTCTCATGATCTATCTAATTATTTTTATTTCGAAATCATCTTGAATAAAATGTATTCTTTATGATAAGAAGCAACCCAAAAAAGTACAATAGTGTTTTACTACTAGATCATTTGAGTAGTTATTGTATCATAGGCTGTTGTTTCGTTTGTTGATATATCGTCTGTTGATGTTTCATTTGCGCCAACTTGTGAATAGATGGTATCAATTGAAAAGAATGGTGGTAAAGCAACAGATGGTAATTCCCGTTGATCACTGGTAGTCTCAAACTTTAAACACACTTCTAGAGCACAGTTTCCATCGACAGATCCGATAGCATAGGCGCTATAACCTTCTGAACAGCCTCTTACATGCGTTCGAGTAGCCATATTGCCATATTGGCATGAATACATACCACCATAACGAGGAAGATCTTTTCTGCTTGTTGGTGTTCTTTCAGCAAGACATACTCTGATGCCATTGATATCGTAAGCTACGAATAGGCTATCAGGACAAGTAAAAGCATTAGTTACAGGATTAACTTTCTGCGATGTGTATGAACCACCGAACAGATAGGTCGATTGGACATCGATACTACTGTAAGAACCAGACCGTTGAGTAGCATTACGATTGCAAACATACAAATAAAGTTCACGTCGTCCTTCGCCTACGTAAACGTCTTCACAACATGTCCTCAACCACAAAAATCCACATTTCCAGCAATTTTGACGATATAGTGATTGATATTGAGATGAAGTATGCAACAAATACTTATTGAAACCGTGTACGCATTGATCGTTGCCAGTATAGTAATTATTCTGTCGCAGATAATAGCAGTGTCTAAACAAAAACAACTTCGCTAAATATTTCTCACTGATCAGACTCGCAACTCACGGCGACATGCGAGAATCTTCTGAGCAGGTGCGAATGAAGCCACCGAATTGTGTCAATTGAGAAATTGGAGCACAAGAACTATCCGCGACATTTGAAACCCAGTTAAAAGACGGTGAATTTCGATCCATGCATCCTCGAATCGTATTCATTTCCACATAAGAATTAACTGCCTGTTCAATTTCTTTTCGAACGTTCGTTAATGCAACTTCGGTCATCTCGGGAAACTGGTCTGTTTGGATGAAATATGTGATGTTCTCAATACTTCGTCGAACAATAGCTGGATTCGTTTTTATCGAGGCTTGCCACGCTTCCATATGACCGCCTAATATGAATACGTCACCACCCTTAGAACTTACCACTTTCCGTTGAATTCTGTTTTTATGTTCATTGACCGTAGCTTGATTTTGACTGGAGCTAGAACTGAAGCTTGCTGATATGCTGAATGTACCTCTGAACGAAGCTTCTGCGGCTGCCTTGTAAGCATTCTTTGACGTAGTACTCGAATAGTAATCTGAATGAGATATGAAATCTTCTTCAACAATTGATCCGCCCAAATACAACCGACTGGTGAAATGTGTGCCATACTTTTTAACAAATAACTGTGCATGATAAGTGGCCAAGAGACTCTCGTTGTTCGATTGAAGTTTGGCAATATTAACTATATCCTTCTTCACTTGGGGATGTACGGGACATGACGACTGAATAATTGCATCTACCATCAGATAGTTAATTTCATTTCGGAGAACGATAGTCTTTTCTTGGCTTTGCTCTTTTTTTGCTGTCTGATATTCTTTGGAATAAGAGCCACTGATCTTGAAACCTAAGAAACCAGCACTACCACCTATCATCAGATTTGATGAATAGTCACTGCTGTGCAAATTATACATGTCCATCTCTGTTGATGCCAATTCAATCTTGTTCTCATGTAAAGGAATTAGTTCAATACATGATTGAAACTTGTCTGAATCATTAAAATTTGACACATCATAGATTGGAGACATATCAAGAAATCGTAAGTGATCCCAACCAAAGCCTGGATAAACCTGCACTTTCAACGATCTTTCGCCGCGACAACCCAGTAGTAATAACAACCAAAAGTTGAGATAAATCTCCATATTCAATCACCGATCACTTTCTAAATCTGGGACTGTACTTTTAAAAAAAGGATGTTCAGGAAAGCTTTAGTAGCAAAATCTGTATGTAGTATATTTTCGCTTCGAAACTTTATTCAGGCGAACAGTATGAGGCTTAAATATTATCGATCGATACTTTAACAGTTTGTCTGAGATTGTTATATATTTTGATCGAATTCTGAAAATTAACGTCTCATGTTACTGTTTTTCAAGTATGTATAAATCATTTCAACATATCATTATTGCAAATAATCATAGTTAATCGATCTTTCTCTGATTTCAAAACACTCAACAAAAAAAATCATGCACAAAAACGAGTACATGTAGGTCATGCTTTTTCTCGGTACCTTTTCTGTTACTTACCAGTATGTTTAATCATTCGATGGAAATTCGGTTGGCCGCCATTAGGTCGAAAGGACAAATGTCAAAAATTTCATTAAGAGATATTCTCTATTCTTCAATTAATAACATAAAATAATCACTAGGGTAGACATAGGTAAGACAGAAAAATGTAGCATTATTGTCGCTAGGCAACTATGAATGACAGACCATCAATATTTCCCATAGTTGCGATAACACCACTACAATGTCATTCATTAAAATAACTTATATGATACTGTATGGCAATCGTTTTTAGCTTCTTTTTTCTTGCACATAAACCAGCAATAAATTGAGTATAAAATATGGAAAGAACGATTTTTCTTCTCATTAGAGGAATTTAACGAAAGCTCAAATATTTAGATATTCTGTACTCAGCGCAACTATGAAATGCTTAATGAACATTTAGTCATTACAACTAATTTCACTTTCACACGAATAGACTCGTCAGAAAAGATTGTATATCGTAGAGGATAACATCTGATGTTGGGTAGACAAATGTCATCTTTACATCTCTCTCTTTTCGATCTTTTCTCCTTCGATTTTAGTCCATTTGGTCTTATTATTTTCGGCCTAATGAGGGCACATCAGAATAATATGTGAATGACTCGGACGAGAGTCGACTGAAATGGAAGAAGAAAAAGATATCCTCACTACCGCTCGTTCGTATCGAATGAGAATTGATCGAAATAAACAAACGTGCACGCACATCCGTCTCGTTCAACTAGGTGAGTGATCCAAGTTTGGAGACGGCACATAAGAGTGAATCTGCTTTCAAATATTGAAATTCTATCGGAAGGACTATTCCAAATTCGACTATTTTAACGTCGTTTCTCACCATTCAAAATAAGATATAGAAAACATTTCGAATCAGTTTAAATAGGTCCATGATCAAGATGTGTTGATAGCTTGATAAACGTTTGTGTTCCTCGCAATGTTTCTACAGTTTTCTTGATGGGATGATTCAGTGGGACGGAAGGGTGGTCAGTATACAGTTTTCGAACGGCCAAGTACACGCTTTTTCCTAGAGATGAACAAATCTTTGATGGGGCGCGTCAGATATACGGGACTCGTGACGTCCGTCTGGATAAAATACTCGGATGATCAGTTTCGTAAAATTTTTCCTCTCATTTTTTTTCTATATATGTACACAAGCGAAATCTACGCAGATCGTTTCCCAAACGAGGCGATAATAGAGATTTTTCGTTAGGAGTCACCTTTTAAGATGAGATCTCTTGACTTTTCTTTCGAATGAGGTGCTTGTCTAAATGATTTGTTGGGAAAAAATCGAAGACTACTAATTGAAAAGCTCAAAAATTTTGAGGAAAATTTCATTGGAATGATCATCACGATTCTTTGCGCTAAGATTCGCGTCAATTCGAATAAAGATTTTCTATTTAGAACTTGTGTTAATACCATGTTTGACGATCTACCTACCGAACTTTGGATGACAATAATTGGTTACCTCTCATCATCAGATGCACTTCTAGCCTTCGCTCATACAAGTAATCGTCTTAATACAATCGCTTGTCAACATATCGCTCGATGTCTTACGTTTGCCAGCAACATGTCGCTCGCTCGCTTTCGTCACTATTTTCAAGTGGGACATCCACGCGTTCGTCATCTCGTCACTCGACTTCGCATCGACGACTATATGCATTTGAATGAACTCGTCCTTATTCTCCTCGCGAATGATCAGAACAATAATGACATTCTATTTCCTCGACTCAAACAATTTGATTTGTGGGGCTGGTATGAAGACACACATTTGAGCACATTTCTCTCTCATCCTTCTCTATTCACACTTCGTCATGTTAATATCAATATGCATCGGTGTTTGTTCAATTATCTGAATATGAACATTCTTCTCCAGTGTACCTCTCTCCAATTGAAAATAGCGCCTCTTGAAACGCTAAAACTGATCTATCGGACTGGTACGTAATAGTCTACTGATAAACTCGTTTCATTTAGATAAAAAAAAGACATCTAACAAACGATTTGTATGCACACGATTTTCATTTCTTTTTCGAATTTCACTAAAAAAAAACCATATACCAAGTCTAAAATGACTATTTCCCCCTTTTCAGCATGGTTTGTTCTGCAAAGAAGAAAGGTATTACCTCAGACTTTTCCGTTTCGTGCAATGTTTTATAAACTCTACAATTTTATTGATTAATGAAGTTTAGTCCTTGTTCTGGAAGTTTCTGTTAACTTTTAATTTTCATAATAGTAGTGCGCTGTTTCAGTGTTATAAAACAACTCTGGAAATAATCGAAAAAATTAAGCTGCAAACGAAAATTGCAAATCTTTCTCGAAATGAATACGTTAACATTCTGGTTAGTGTAGCTACACATCATCGTTTCATTTTTCTAGTTAATCCACCCCCAATCGCGGAACGAGTTAAAACATTCCAGACTACTATTGACTCTTGGTTACGGGTATTACCCATCGATCGACCCATTATGGTATGGAGCTCACTGGTTCAGCTGACACTATCGATCAGTGAACGGACTATTTTGTGGTTGCTGTTGGACACTTGTCCGATGCCGTCGCTTATTCTACTTGATGTCACCTTCGAGTATGATGCTAATCCTCGTTATCCTGTGGATAAACTGATGGTCATGAATGGTGCAAGTAATTTCGTCGAATTGCGTACCCTTAGGCTAAAAAATAGTCCGTTTAGTTTCATTCAACATTTACTTGACAGCTTTAACATGTCTCGAATCGATACTGTTTCCTTTATTAATATTTATGACAATGCTCAAGCAAATTCTGGTGAGTACGAATGCAGTTAGTTATTGTCAAATTCTTCATCTGGTACATCCACGATGTAAATCGGATTTTTGACGGCGAAGATGTATTCATTTCGGCTTTCAGACACCATTTCATAAATACGTCTGGTTCAGTGAATTCGACTAATCTAGACTAGAGCATGACACAACCAAAGTCAGTCCCAGTGGAAGATTTGGTCGCGTTTTTNTGCTCAAGCAAATTCTGGTGAGTACGAATGCAGTTAGTTATTGTCATATTCTTCATCTGGTACATCCACGATGTAAATCGGATTTTTGACGTCGAAGATGTATTCATTTCGGCTTTCAGACACCATTTCATAAATACGTCTGGTTCAGTGAATTCGACTAATCTAGACTAGAGCATGACACAACCAAAGTCAGTCCCAGTGGAAGATTTGGTCGCGTTTTTATCTAATATCGAATACTATCGTTCGGAAGAAATTCATCGCTAAGTTGAGCTAGTACATAAGACCTTTATTTCCACCACACAAGTCTACACAGAACGATCCGATGAGATTTGTATTTAATGCAATATATCCAAAACTTGGAGAAAAGTGCATTCTATAACTGGGACTATGAGTAAACAGGTTAATTTGTGTTGCTTGGATTCGGATGCCTTTAGTATTCTCGATTAATGTTGAAATGAAATGTACCATTAGATTTGAACAATCGTCTAAGAATGCATGCATATCAATTTTAGTGTGCTCAAACGACGCTTGGTCTCGGCTTATCACCAGTCGATTACCTCATCTTCATCAATTCGAATTGAAAGTGCTCATCGATCCAATTCCTCTACCTGCTGCCATTGATCGTCTCATTCAATCATTTTGCTTTGATCCTGTTCTAAGCAGTTGGCCAGTGAGCGCTTTTATCGACGAAAGATTTAACCACAGTCGCGATTTTGCACATTTGAAAGAGGCTAGTCGACTTGTTCTGCACACTCTTCCCTATCCAGGAAGGCGCGATGTGATGGACGAACTTTGGAATTTTGATATTGTTTCAAAGCGAAGAGAGGCATTGCGTACTGCTTCTCATATTGGTCGACATATCAACTGGTACGTCAACGAAACCATCCAGTACGACGAATCTTTCAAGCTCTTGTCGAAATTAATGACTCGTCGAGTTCGATCAATTCGTCTCGTCTATTCGGCCGTGGACGAAAGCGAACCGAAGGTAATTTCTTCTTGTGTGCCCACAAAATCGATTTGGAGCTGACCGCATATGGCAATAGCTCAAAAGTTTTCTATGAAAATCTAGACATGTTTTTAACCGAACGAACTTACATAGTTATTCACTCAAAAATATCTCTGGAGAATACTGCAAGGCGTCCATAGCAAAAGTTTCAGCTTTATCACACAAATTTGAATAGGGGTCGTAACGTAGCTGCAATTTAAAAACTCGATATTTTACGCTGAGCACATGAAAAGACGTTCGAACCATTTCTAGATTTCCATAGGAAGCTTTGAGCTATTGCTCTATATGATCAGATTTTCTTTAAACATACAAGAGGGAGGGGAGCGAGGTATTCTTAAATCTTCAATAGTATGTTTAGATTTCTTCAAGATTACGCAGAGAGTGGAAATTATAAAAGTAGAGTAAAATAGTTGTTCACTCCCACAACCACATGCACTGATAAGTAGCAAGAGTGTTTAATTTGGAACCAATTCTTCAAGATGAAAAGAAGAATAAAAAAGTTGTTCCTCAAATATCCATAGATTGGTCGTTCTACTAAGAGCGAGAATTGATAGAGCATGCAGGTTGCTCATATCTTAACCTCATGGTCTCACCCACCCTCAAGACTGGATGTGAACGATCACGTAAACTTTGTTGTTTTTCCTACAGGAGAAACAACAAGAGAATGGAATTGGATCCTTGCCAACTTTGTGTTGTGATATAGTGGAACTCAAATTGAAATTCGATCGTACGCCGTCGGCAACTAAGATCAATCTCGTTGAGTGTCTATTCGCTCAATTGGCACCATTCATTCGAAAATTGGAGCTTGACGCAGCTGATATTGAAGATGGCCGATGGTTATTATGGCAAGCATTGCTTGCGCGACAACGCATTACTCATCTAGACATTCGTTTTAAATCCGCATTGAACAATGATTTCTCACCTGTCAAACAAATCTCGTCGACTTTTCCGTATCTCACTCACCTTTCTGTAACGGGCATTTATATGCAACCTGACTCACTCGTTCGAGTTGCCGTCGAACTACTCTGTCTCTGGCCTCACACCACTCACATACAACGTCTTCGCCTTGGCTATCTCTATCCAAAAAAGAATTATTTTCAATATGAGAATGTTAAGTACATAAACACGGCCTTATTGCGATCATTGGCTGTCTATGAACCCTCAACACAGCTGTCTCATCGTTTTCACCAGAACTCGTTATTGATTTGGCGGTGAACACAATACTCGTCATTCGAAAAATTCACATACCTCTCAATTGTATACTTTACATTAATAATCACAATAAACTCATGTGTTAAGAAATTCAAGAAGTGACTTCACAGTCGCGCACGAAACTATCAATAACGTCTCCAAAAATGTTCATTGCTTGAAACATTGTTTGGAGTGCGNCAGCTGTCTCATCGTTTTCACCAGAACTCGTTATTGATTTGGCGGTGAACACAATACTCGTCATTCGAAAAATTCACATACCTCTCAATTGTATACTTTACATTAATAATCACAATAAACTCATGTGTTAAGAAATTCAAGAAGTGACTTCACAGTCGCGCACGAAACTATCAATAACGTCTCCAAAAATGTTCATTGCTTGAAACATTGTTTGGAGTGCGGACGCATACATGGAAAGTCGGCGAAGGTGCTTATGTTTCACTGCTGCTATGGCGATTTTCAAAAGATTTCTGAATACGTCTATTGTGTCTCACATATTGGATGTCACTCGATGATACTCGTTGACAAGGCCGTTAGCGAATGACCTGGATGGAAGTCAAGTGATAAGACGTTGAGCTAGATCGAATTAGCGCAAGATTGAACTTGCTCTTACCTAAATCTGAATTTTCTTATTCTCTGGTTCACGATCAAGTCTTGCCTTATGTATGTCTTCGCTCTAATGTAAATGTTGCATATTGCGTTGAATTCATTTATCGTCTGCTTCGAAATAATAGTGTAAAATAACGACGATGGACAGTCGACCCGACCCAAGAGTTTAAACTCAAAATTCCACGTAAGTATATATTGAAAATTGGAAATCGTACACAAGCTCTTCACGTGACGATCTTATTTTTTCGATAAACGTCACCTCGGCATATACTTGTCCTTTTCTGGCATGTGAGATCTCACAAGGATTTTTTAAACACTTATTGTTCACCGGTTAAGTTCAAAGGCAAAGTTATCAACAACGAATCATTTTTATCATAATTGATGATATCCATGAAATTTTGATCGATTATGTCTGATTATTTAGCTCATTCCTAAGATCGAATTTAACCGATTATTGACGATTAAGCAATCAAGAATAATCAAACGACTTTTATTTACCGTATGAAATTATTTTTACCTGGACAATTTACTCATGTTATCAGTCGATTACTTAGATAAAATGCATCTACTTAGAAATGATCTTCTCTTTTTTTAGTTGTATCTCATCAGAACATAAAAATAGATCATCATGAAAATCGATCGACGAAAGCAGAGAGTTCAGCGAGAGATCCGCCATCGTTCTTGTTGTTTGATGCACTGTGTGACAATTCATTCGATTGATTATACTCAGTGATCGTCGCTTTCGGTACGTGATCATCGGTATTGCGTTTTTTTATCCTCCCGATATTTTCCAAAAGACGATGTAATTGAGCTAGATCATTGATTTTTTGCATTGATCAATACCAATACTTTCTTGAACCTGTCGAAGAAGGTGATCCCGTACTTTGATTAGATCATGATTTGTACCATCGTAAACAAAAAACACCTCTGCGGACCAATCAGTAACCAGAAGTCTAATCAATGACGCAAGCGTGTCATTGTCACATGTATGATCACGAACATTAGTGGCGATCGTAACGTAAGGTACTGAACATTGATCCACCAGCTACAATAGAAAGAAGAAAAGCTAGATAGCGAAAACATTGTGTCTTGTCCTTCCTTCGTATTCACAAAGAACGGTCGAATGTGATTCATACTGTTCACCCTTTAAGTTTGTTTCCAGAACACAGATCTATGAGGCATCCTGTTGTGACTTCTCTTTTAATTCGATCGCTACTCTAGCACTGAGATCGTCATTAGCCAGCATACCAAAATACAATGATGCATCGATGTTTGCCGTCGACTTAATAGCCGCGCGGGTATCACGTAAGAGTTCATTGATCGCTGAGAAATGAACCGGTGAAGTATGACGCAGGAGAACTTCTTCAACACCATTTTCATTGTAAAAATAAATGATAGCAAGACACGTATTGACAGCAATGCTACCAAACTCGCAATTTGATATCCACAAGTGAAAGTCTTCATCTTCCATTTCCACATTACGAACAAAACTAGATGAATTTCCATTCGACATGATACAGCGAATATAATCGAATTCGAATAGCTCGGTGGATGTTATACACGCATTCGAACAGTCAGTGTATTTAAATGAAGAAGAGAAAAATAACATGCCATCTTTTCTCTTTTCTTTCTCTACTTCCAGGGACTGCACTTTAAAAAAAAAGGATGTTCAGGAAAGCTTTAGTAGCAAAATCTGTATGTAGTATATTTTCGCTTCGAAAATTTATTCAGGCGAACAGTATGAGGCTTAAATATTATCGATCGATACTTTACTTTAACAGTTTGTCTGAGATTGTTATATATTTTGATCGAATTCTGAAAATTAACGTCTCATGTTACTGTTTTTCAAGTATGTATAAATCATTTCAACATATCATTATTGCAAATAATCGTAGTTAATCAATCTTTCTCTCGTTTTAGAACACTCAACAAAAAAATCATGCACAAAAACGAGTACATGTAGGTCATGTTTTTTCTCGGTGCTTTCCCTGTTGCCACTTCGTTTGGTGAAAAATCGACAACAATGTCGCCCTCTTCAAGTAATGTTTAATTTAAGTATCAATACTTATCTTTACAAATTTGACGGAAATGTCAGATCTTCGTTTTTTTCACGTTACAAAAGCAATTACATATAAGCTATCCGTGAAATAGCTGATCGATGATTAGTAATTATTGCGTTTAATTCGCAATCTGGTCATGTAACATGACTAACAAGGAACGAGACACTCGAATCTTTTCTTTTAATTTACACATACTGGGACATACAGAGAAAAGTGAAAGAAAACGCATACATTTCATTGTTCTTTCATCAGTTTTTTGTAAAGTCTTCATCTCGTCGTAATTACAACTCTGTTCGTTGCTACGGGACGAATGGCATTTAGTCTAATGTCTGACATCGTTCGTCGTCGAAGAGTATCGATCAAAACCCTCATCTTCTGTTTGATTTCTGGCAATGCAAACACACACACAACTGGATTTCCCAACACTGATAAGTAAATGGTATTGATCAGCACAAAACTTGTTTGCAATTCAATTAACAAATCAGATGGTCTTTCACTGGTTACTACAAGCACTAAAACAATAGTTACAGGTAGCCAAACTATCGTATGTAACACCGATACTGATAACAGTTGTCTAAGCATCCCAACATTCTTTTTCCACACGTTTTTCTGTCGCATTCGACGTCTCTGCAGCATCACTCGCATGCAAAGCAAAATGTTGAAAAAAATTATGCATGATAATGGCATATAAACGGTGAAGATTATATCAAATGTGCCAATAGCTGCTTCTAGTTGATAACATGAACCACCACATAACTGATCAACATACGAGAAATGCTCTTCACATGGATAAAATAGAACTGTACTGCAAGAATACATGATTGCAATTAGTGTGAACATCGCTATTGGAGCATAATGAATCCAAGTCTTGTATCTAAATGTAAAGAAGACGAGAATGTTCGGTTCGTGGAAGACATGGAACATGTGTGCGTTTACTTATTTAGAATATTGGGATGTATGATGAACAGATAACGATCGACTGAGAGATGAGCATTGAGAAACAAGAGAGTTGTATTTAGACTGTAGTTGAAAGCAATCCAGAACTTACAAAAACGATAAGTCTCGAATGGAACACGGCCACTCCTCAGAAACGCCAACAAGAATGGCATTTCACATGTTTCCTATGAGGTCAGTTCAATCAAATGATTAGAACGAAAGATTCCTTACTTGAATTAAACTGATGATGAAGATGAAAATAACTGAATGATTGGTCAAACGAGTTCGCAATTCGTCTAGGCGATAGATCCAATAACAGATATACAAAGCTAATAATGTTGATGGAATGATGAAGATGCTGAACAAGATCAAACAAACAAGTCGATTGAGAGCGACGTTGATGTATGATGATGCTGGTGAGTCGACATCTGCTGAGTCGTTCATTTGGATCATATAAATAGAACTTGTTCGTAAAGTGTTTCTAGTGGCTGAAAGAAGAAAACGAGTTGTGAATGGGAGAAGAAATTGTGGGAAGTGATTCTCTACTGTTGAAGATGGTGGAAAGGATTTGTTGTCGCTTGAATGAAATCCTTAATCTCATTTATTATGAATATTTGTGACAGATATAGAGCACAGCTTGCCCTAAACTTGGGATTTATCTCGCCCCTTTTTCTTACCAATCATTCTCATGTGGATTAAATTATCTCGGGTCAAAATCTGTCGACCAGAAAAATATCGCAAGTGCGTCTTTTCACTAGCAAAAAAACTACATCCTGCACTTGTCGCACAGATCTCCATCTTTTCATATATACTACGTCGTATACAAAAGTATCGGTAATATGATAACACCCTCAAGATTTCTAAAAGATAATAATACGCGATGCAGAAGTCTTTGCACAAATGTCAAGCTTTATAGTTCGATTATTTTATTAGCTTACGATCTGGTTCTTTTTCATTATGAAGAGTGTAGAAAATACTACAAAAATCTTTGCTCACAAAACCGTATACAGGCCTTCTCGCCAGATAGATCGAAGCTTGCTTTTGACACCCTCAATCATACCTTGCAACATTTTTCGATCAAATTCTTTCGATTTTTGTTTGATTCTTCGAGCTAAAACATCCAAGTTTTTTTGTTTACCAATTGTTCTCGTACACTTTGTGTTCGAGTAAAGTCCAGCCGATTTCGATTGGACGGGCTTGTGGTATATTTAGAGAATTATCTTTACGAATAACAAATGGTACGTTTTTCTCAGTTAAACGTTCTTGTACAGATTTGGAATAATGAGCACTGCTAAAGCAGACCAGAACAAATAATTTCCATTAGAATGATGTGTTTCGATAAAAGGAAGACGTCTTTCGTTGATACACTTATGTAAACAAGTAACGCTCGTCAAGGCAGACTCGCTTAGCTCTTTCTCGTAGAAATATCGCTTGCGAATGTTATATTTTTAATGCATTATTGTGTATATAAGTTTATTTTCAGCATAGATTAGATATTTTCAAGAAATACCAATACAATTAGAAAGATTATGGATGATTACATCAAAAAACGAAACAAAGAAAACACGATAGGCAATATCTGGTACAATGGCAGAAAACAGATAATTATATAATAATTAACATAAGTGTAAATAGAGATAAAGAAATTTATAAATAATTATTTTAAGATAATTTCAAATTATGTTACGTTTTATATGCCTACCATGAAACTAGACTGTTAGGAAAGTATCGATTTACACATATTTACGAAATGAAAGAGGCACACTCTCGCTTTGTCTTTTTGTCAAGTTCATCCAGACGTTTCAGTTCAGCATCTTGCACAGAAGAAGGTGGAACTTGTAGAACATTCGTATCAAAAAGCTGAAGAATGACTATATCTTCCACTTTCTTCACTCTGCTGAGTGGTACATATACTGACGCTACCTGCAATGTCTGAAGTGGAACTTGCATATCGACTACAATTTTGTTCATTGTGAGTTCTTGCGCTTTATATTGTAGTTATTGCGAAGGCAGGTACAATTGGTAGTTGGGTTCGTGTGACTTGAATGAATTGTGGAATTTTTCTCTCATTTTGCATTCGATCGAGTAGATGTCCGAAGAGTTGCTTTATAGGAACAGTGAATTGCTTCTTGATTAATGGAATATGGAATAGGAATTAGTTTGGGACGAAGACCATCGAGATTTATTTCTACTTGTGATGTATTAATTTCTTCGAGTGCATATAATGGTTTTCGCATGTATACTGTATTAGAGAGAAATACATCGCTCTTTATCTTAAAACCCCCTGGCTCCTCCTGATCATCGTATACAAGCTCTCGAAAAATTCCTTGGGTACTACGGGAAAGCCCTATTTCACACGCAATGTTATCGATGAGAAGTACAGACATGTTTGGTACTAAAGGTAAAAGACCGGGAAGAAGTTTAGTCTTATTGTCAAGTATATGGATGTTAATTCAAAGTTCGTTTATGAAGACCAGTTGTTAATTATTACGTCGATAGACAATTAACACCATGTTTTGTTTATCATACTAATACGCTTGAGTATAGTCGGTATCCTATGGTTATACATTTTTCCTCGATAATCTCTACCATATGTTTAAAAAAACTGAAACCAAATTCGAGCTCCTCGCACCAAAAAAAACTTTGTTCGAATTTGATAAAAGAAGTTTTTCTAAAAAAAATGGCCAGTTGTCTAAAAATATGTTTTTTTTAATTAAAAAAAAATAACATCAGATTCGAATTTTTCGCATCGAAATACCTCTGAAAACGTCTTTTTTTACAAAAATTGATTTTCGATGTTTTTTCCCCTGCAGACATACAAGCAAGCAAACAATTTATGTTTCTAAGACTCTTCTCTACGAGAAAGAGAATAGCTAGCTGATTATAGTTACTCTCTCAATCACCGTTATCTGAGACCAATTCCCATACACTTTTGGCAACGGATTTCTTCCTCAGTCCACAGTGAATTCAAGACTTACAGCTCCCTATCGCCTCCATCACGTCTAATCACTTGGGTATACTTTTACTTTCATCCAAGAGCTGTTCGTCTCGATTATATCGACTTCGACCTCTTTTCGATGTTCTCACCTCACTGATCCGTAACACACCTCATCCTATCTAGTCCTTCTCACAACAACTTATTATTGAGGTACAGACTGCTTTTCCATACAAAGTTCGTTTTCTCGTTTAGCATGGCTTTAGTTTCGTTCATGCTATCCGTTATTAGGCTGCGTGAAATGCTCGTTTTGATTGTTTAGGATAGGTCTCATTCTTCGTTCACATGTTTGCCAGTAGTTTATAGAAAGTTCAGCTTATTCATAGTTTTGCACGCTTGGTAGATATTTATTTGTGACCCTACAATAATAATGGAAAGGTATCCTCTTAGGTAAAAGGCCTAATTCTGATGCGTATGGATTAATGGTCCGAACAGCAGAGGCACGGAAGTTATACTAGTAGGCGACGAGCCAATTAAATGATTTGTACATGTGTTCGTGTAGAATCTGTTCGGTGTGAAATCTGTCTGATTATGAGTAAAATTTTTTACAGAACGAATGATTTATTTACCCTATGTGTGTTGAAAATATTGTTGTTTATTGCGAAGGGCATTCCGCAAAAACGACTGCGCTTGGTGCGTTTTACGTTGAGGGAAAATAGTGAAGCTGATAGGTTTCACTTCTAATGATTCTGATTGTTTTTGGCACGTTTTTATTGTTCTGGATTGTGAGGAGAATAGCTGACGGAAACTGTTATCGATAAAGTGATTCTAAAATTGGATCGTTTAAACTGTCGAATTATAGTATTTAACTAGAGTAAACTGTTTAGACTTATATTTTTTACGGCCATGTTTAATATGTAATTGGCGGTCCAAACTGTCGTCAAAATCGCTGAAAACTGATAATAAAGACATATTTCAACTTGTGAAGCATGTCTACTACGAACGTTTTCCATTGCGCTTTCATATTTGGTTTTTATATTCGTGATTGTTCGTTGGTTGTGGTTCTTGATGAAGAGTCAGAAGCGTGTTAGAATTACTGTCAATTAAACGAACTGAATTTTTTATGTGTCCGTTTCAAATAGTCCCACAGATTTACTCGAGTGAAATACAAGCAAAAGCGAATTCCCGCACGCTTGGGCTCCCCTTCATATAAAACCATAGCACTGTACTTTTCAGTTCCACATTTCTTGATGAAACCTTTTTTGCAGTGTGATACTTAAAAGGGCTTTGTAGTCGATGTTTCGGAGCGTATATCCGCGAATAAGTCCTTTTCAGATCTGACAGATTTTGAAAATCATTTCTTTCCATATGTTCGTGCATTTGGAAAGCATTCGTCAGCTATGAATCCTTTTTCGATGGGTTCGGTAGTATGTTTTTATTTATAGGACAGGAAAATTATTGACGAGGAGCAATACGTCGATTAACACGGTTTTTCGTGAAGATTTTAGCTAATTCACGACGAAAGAAAACACTCACTAATGTGTAGATGTAAAACGAAAATATTTTGTCGAATAAGTTAAGCCAGACAGCTAAGTTGAGAAGAAGGCTTTCTATAGCAATTTGTTTGCTACTTTTCACAAAAAAAGCCGAAACGCTTGAATAAATTCTGAACATGAATAGTGGAAGTGAGAAGAAAATTAAAATGATCACTTGTACACAGAGCATAAGTAAGACGTTATTGTTCTGATTGTTTCGACCGTTTGGATTAATTTGATTGTTGTTTCTAGTATAGCCACCACTATTCGCGTTGGTTCTCACAGTCGCCTTTTCTATTGGCACTACTAGCTGTTGTTTAGCAATACGAATATGATTGTATGTACCGATACCAAAAACAAACATAGATATAGGTGGTCCAATTGCTTGCAAGATGAAAGCAAATACTGAATTAATAATGTTACATGTATTGTTTATTGGATTGCACAATGCTCCACCAGGTTGATTGGCGTCATAACAATAGAATATTTGTGAATATAGAAAAATAATAATGCTAATAACAATGATGATTACACGATATGCATTTTTCATATTGCTATATCGTCGTACGTCAGCATTACGTGATGATGAACAGAATCGATCAATACAACAACAGGTCATAAGCCAATTCGATAGAGCGATTGATATATTGTAAATAAATATTTGCAATTTGCACAAAACTGACGAATAATAAGCTGGTGTGATATTGAAGCCAATCAACATGCGTAACACGACGTATGTAGAGATATTCAACATGTTGACTATAGAAGCAAACAACATGAAAGGAATGCATGGCGATATTGCTCGTAAAGTGCGCCGTGTAAAAAGGAAAATATTCAGCACATTACCCGCCGTTCCTAAGACAATATAAATGATACCCATTGATATAGCCAGCTTGTTCCTAATCTCATTGATAAGTAAAACTGTCGAAGACATGGTGACAATGACAGTGCTGCATTGAAACGACAGTTAATTAAACGAGATCACGATATTAAATTGTCGTTCATCTCTTTTTCTCTAGCTACAATGAAAACAAAAAAGACTTCGGTCGAAACCGAGAAGTGTTTCGCGCACTTAAAAAGGATTTCATAGGAAATAAAGGCCTTGTTAAAAATGTTTTCCAGGCCAAATGGATCTTTTGAGGGATTTCGCACTTTGCAACGAATTCTAAACCGTTTAAGGGCTTGGTAGGAAAACTACGAAACGTTCAAGAAAGATAGCGCAGCTTGTAATAACTCTAATGAAAGCCTCTTAGGTTTATACGAAACATTCAAAGGGGTTTTGATTTCATTGCAAAAATAGTTTCGTATAAAGGGGTCTTGGTGTGAGAGTGTGAAGGTGAGGGTAGATGAAAATTTTTTTATGATTCGAATCTATAGAGCTCACCGAATTGTAGCTGGAATAAGTGTCGAAATGGTAGCTGGAAATAAAGAAACGAATCCGTGCGTGTTTTTCTGAAATTTTCATGTTTGTCTGGTTTTTCTGGCAATTTTCCTGCATTTTTATGGACAAGGAAGGATATTTCCCGGAATTTTATCCTTGGAATAGATTGAGTTCACCGAGTTCCACTTGGAACAAATGTGATAAGAGTTGGAATACACTCGTGTTCGAATCCGTTCAAGAAAAGGTCGAATTCATGTCCAAAATATCTTACATCGGATCTCTATCCTTTCATACATACTACGTCGTATAGAAAAGTATCGGTAATATGGTAATTACTCACTTCTAAAAGATAATATACTTTTTCTGCCGAGAATCAATACTTTTATTTCACTAAACTCGATGTTTTTACACATTCGACTTCACTTAAAATAAGTTCTAACAGGCGGTTTTCTAATAAGATCAATCTAGCTGATACACAAATTCAAATAAGCAGACTTATCAAGGTACGCACTCATGGTATCGTGTCACTCGTCAAACAAACAAAATGTTCTAAATCATCTCTGGTAGAAGCGAAAACGATGCTTATCAACACTAACATAGGATCAGGGTGCATCTTTCTTAAGAAAAAAACTGCAAAGTACGGCTGATAAGTCAGGTATGTCATTTCTTTTTCGAGTGTTTTACGAAGTATTTCACGAGGACACGCGGATGAATGCATCGAAAAGATGCCTAACTATCCGTCAAGTTCCCACTTTTCTCTCTTTTTTCTCAGCTATTCACATTACCAAACAACATCTCGTTTTACCGCTCCTCAACTCCGACCGACTTGTGCAGAAACAGAAAAACATTCTATAAACATCCGGCACTGGATTCTCGTGCGGATAGAAATCAGATTTTTAATGCACCCATCTGTGAACTCCTCCTGTACTGAATTTTCGGGCCAGTTTCGACCCTCTCACAAATCTTCACTAAAAATCGAGAAGTCAGAGACAGGAATAGTTAATTAGCTGTCGGATTAAAATTCCAAGTTCAATCCTCACTCAAAATGGAGAAGTCAGAGCTTAGAGCGGGCATCGAGATTCTGGATTAAAAATCGCATTTTGAGCTTCTCCCAAATTCGCTCCTCATGATTGGACATTGGTTTTCGTTAATTCTGGGATGTGGTAGAGGGATTAATGCTGAGGTTGTATTCGGATTGCTAGTGGCAGATGATAGTTCATGTGTAATAAGGTGTTTTAGGGCGGAAAGATATCACTTTAGATCGGATTTTCGGGGAAGTCATCATAACGGTTTGGAAATGATCGGAACTTCTGGGAATAGGCTGGGTTCAATCACTAGGATTCGGGCGTTGTAGCGTTATGTATATGTATGCTCATCAACTCATTACCAGTTCATATACGTATGCCTTCTTCCTATCAGTGTGAAGCTAGCACGAAGGAGCTAGCACGAAGAAACTGTGTGTAAGCTAAAAACTTTTTTCCAGAGTTTGTTCGGTCCATAAAACCTAGTCCCTTTGATTCAGAATTTAATTCTGCATCGAATGGTGGTATTTTTATTCACCGGACAAACTTTGGAAAAAAATTATCGGAAACATAAATAGACCTATATGAGGCAAACAAAGATGTAGTTAAACTTNTCGGATCCGAGACCGTCGGAATCCAATGCGATTCCGTCACCAGGATTGCATCGGATCCGTCGAATTCCTGTAGGATCCGGTAAAATTCAGTATTGGATCCGATGGGATTCGATGGGATCCGAGTATGGGATTGTTCGACCTGGGAAGCATTCGTCAACTCTGAAACCTTTTCGATGGGTTCAGTAGTATGTTTTTATTTATAGGACAGGAAAATTATTGACGAGGAGCAATACGTCGATTAGCACGGCTTTTCGTGAAGATTTTAGCTAATTCGCGACGAAAAAAAACACTCACTAATGTGTAGAGGTAAAACGAAAATATTTTGTCAAATAAGTTAAGCCACACAGCTAAGTTGAGAAGAAGGCTTTCTAGAGCAACTTGTTTGCTGCTTTTGACAAAATAAGCTGAAATGCTTGAATAAATTCTGAACATGAGTAGTGGAAGCGAGAAGAAAATTAAAATGATCACTTGCACACAGAGCATAAGTAAGACGTTATTGATCCGATTGTTTCGACCGTTTTGATTAATTTGATTGTTGTTTCTGCTATGGCCATCACTATTCGCGTTGGTTCTCGCAGTCGCCATTTCTATTGGTACTACTCGCTGTTGTTTAGCAATACGAATATGATTATATGTACCGATACCAAAAACAAACATAGATATAGGTGGTCCAATTGCTTGCAAGACGAAAGAAAATACCGAATTAATAATGTTACATGTATTGTTTATTGGATTGCACGGTGACCCACCAGGTTGATTAGCGTCATAACAATAGAATATTTGTGAATAAAGAAGAATAATAATGCTAATAACAATAACGATAATACGATATGCATTTTTCATATTGCTATATTGTCGTACGTCAGCATTACGTGATGATGAACAGAATCGATCAATACAACAAAAGGTCATAAGCCAATCTGATAGCGCGATTGATATATTGTAAATAAATATTTGCAATTTGCACAAAACTGACGAATAATAAGCTGGTGTGATATTGAAGCCAATCAACATACGTAACACGACGTATGTAGAGATATTCAACATGTTGACTATAGAAGCAACTAACATGAAAGGAATGCATGGTGATATTGTTTGTAAAGTGTGCCGTGTGAAAAGGAAAATATTCAGCACATTACCCACTGTTCCTAAGACAATATAAATGATACCCATTGATATAGCCAGCTTGTTCCTAATCTCATTGATAAGTAAAACTGTCGAAGACATGGTGACCATGACAGTGGTGCATTGAAACGACAGTAAAATAAATGTGATCACGATATTAAGTTGTTCTTCATCTCATTTTCGCTAGCTACACTGAAAACAAAAAAGACTTTGATCGAAACCAAGAAGTGTTTCGCGCACTTAAAGAGAATTTCATAGGAAAGAAAGGCCTTGTTAAAATGTTTTCCAAATGGAGCTTTTGAGTGATTTCGGACTTTGCAGGGCTTGATAGGAAAACTTCGAAACGTTCAAGAAAGATAGCGCAGCTCATAACAACTCTAATGAAAACATCTTAGGTTTACACGAAACCTTCAAAGGGATTTTGATTTCGTTACAAAAATAGTTTCGTATAAAGGAGTCTTAGTGTGAAGGTGTGAAGGTGAGGCTCGATGAAAATTTTTTTTTGATTGGAATCGATAGAGTTCGTCGAATTGTATCTGGAATAAGTGTTGAAATGGTAGCTGGAAGTAAAGAAACGAATCCGTGCGTGTCTTGCTGAGATTTTCATGTTTGTCTGCTTTATTTTGGCAATTTTCTTGCATTTCTTATGGATAAGGAAGAATATTTCTCGGAATTTTATCCTTGGAATAGATTGACCGCGCCGAGTTCCATTTGGAAAAAAAGGTGATCAGAGTTGGAATACACTCGTGTTCGCATCCGTTCAAGAAAAGGTCGAATCCATGTCCAAAATGTCTTACATCGGATCTCTACCCTTTCATATATACTATGTCCTATACAAAAGTATCGGTAATATGGTAATTACTCACTTCTAAAAGATAATATACTTTTTCTGTCGAGAATCAATACGTTCATTTCACTAAACTCGATGTTTTTACACATTCGATTTCATTTAAAATAAGTTTCAACAGGCCGTTTTCTAACACGACCAATCTAGCTGATACACAAATTCAAATAAGCGGACTTATCAAGGACGTACTCATGGCTTCGTGTCACTCGTCAAACAAACAAAATGTTCT